TGGAGATATATACATCCCAAAATTAAATGTAATATGTGACAATCAAATATCATACAATAAATCCCAACAAAATTGTAGAAAGAATCACTCCTTATTTCAGTTAAACACAGTTTATAGTTTTCATAGATAAAACACACATCCCAAATAAAAATCACATTTGCTTACATTTTAAGAAGACAAATTAAATCAATCTTAATAGAAAACATACATCCCAAATTAAAACTGAAGTGTGTGAAATTGTAATTATCCATTAAATTCCCAACATAAATCAAGAATGAATGCTCTTCACTAGAACACAATAATATGGATAGAATACATCCCAAGTTAAATGTATTGTGTTTCAAAATTATTTGTTTTCTATATCATAACAAAATTGTATAATAAAAATTTCAATTATACGTAAAATAATAATAATAATAATAATAAATAAATATACATGACATTTATGCCAACTTGTACATGAATAATTTCCTATTGTAGCTCAACTCCATTTATACGCAGGAATTCCAATCATCTAGCCTCCCAACCACCCTAATTTCGTGGCTCACCATCCATTTGTAGAACCACACATTGGGTCAAAGGGGACAACTTGAGCAAATTAATGGAGTGGGTGAGCAGCTCTCTGCAGATTGGCAGGTGCCCGCGCAGCGTCAGGGGCTATGCTTAGCAAGGGCCTGTAATACATTGCAGGCCCTGCAAAATTCGAAGTTCTCTAGAGGATTTGGTGAGCGCCCGCAAGTTGTCAGGGGTGGCCTTTAGCGGGGGCCTGCAGTGCATTGCAGGTCCTTGCATTTTTCAAATGCTACTGCCTCATTTGGCCGGCGCCCGTAATGTTACAGCTTTGATTCTTCCTTTGCTTCTTGAAATGATCTCTGCTCGGCCTGATGGAGCGACCATCGTTCTTAGCGTTTTTTACAGGGATAACCATGAGTTCAATGGGTCACAGGCTTGGCCAAAATGAAGATCCCCGGCGACGGCATGCTTTGATTCTTTAATAATTCATCAAAACGTCTCTTTTAACTCTCTTTGGGGAACCAACCTGAAAATAAACAAAAGCATGCAAATGAAACTAATATATACAATATGATCAACTAATGGACTTAACTGATGCAAATAAGGGTGCTTGAATATGCAATATTCGGTACTTATCAGGATGGAACTTCCCTATTTCTTGCTTCTTTTTTACCGAATGAGTGATGAACCCCGGTCGAAAGGCGGCAATCTAGTCGCTCACTGTATCTCGATGTGATACGGTACGAAGTGTTCCGGTCGCTCTAGCTCTTTCTTCTGTCTAGGGTACGCCAAATAAAAAGGGGTGAAGCCATTCAAAAGAGGTCTGGCTTTGAATTAGCCAGTGCCGGTTCAGATAGTATTTGATAGCCACTGTACGAATGAAAGATTTTAGGCATACCCCTCCATCAGCAGTGGATAACAATTTGTATTGGTTTGGTGTTTCTTCAACATCCCGACCTGATCGATGGTTTGTTTTTTTTTTTTTTTTTTTAAGGCGCTAGGGATTGTTTGGAGGGTATTGGACCCTCATCCGACCTTAATCCTGTCGCCGTCACCATAACAGCACCACCACTTTTATCTCCTTCTCCCTCAATCCCCTATCGCAGCAGGGCATGGTTGTCCAAAAAATCAAGTTTCTATGTCGCGTGAGAATCACGCACTTATTTTTGGATGGCCGGTAGCCGGATGGAGTGATCTGCAACAAATTTGTATAGTTTAGAGGGTTTTCTGTAATTTTGATAGTTTAAGAGGTTAGTTGCAAGTTTTCCAATAGTTCAGGGGTTTTTTTTGGAAAAAGTGCAAAAAAATGTTAGAATTTTATATAGATACTAAATTAAACGAGTCACCTAGAACTCTTGGTCATCAAGTCTTAATGCAAATGGATAACACTAACGTGTCTGAAAGACCCAAAAACCTCAAAGGGTACCCAAGGGTGGGGTCCTAATTCCCCTTAAAGCCAATACTATCCAAATCCCAAGATCGGGGTAAAATGGCCAAAGCGCACCACCATTTGATAAAAAAATCAGATGCCACCAGCGCATCTGGATCATCCAAAAACTCCTGAAAGCATAAATGGATCGAGTCAACCCTTTTTGGATACCTTTTGATCGCATTCCTAAGAATCGATGCTTCTAAAAGTGCCATGGGTAGGTTCGCGCACACATGATTGAGTCCCATAAAATAATTATTCCTTTTCAAAAATTTAACTTTGTAAGATGAATTTTAATATTTTTTATTTAATCGGTAGTGAATAAATTACCATATATGTTCATAGTGAAGATACATGATGTGATAATTTACTTTTTATAAGTTGTAAAAAGGTTAAATTAGTAATGTTATAGAAAATAGTACTTTGACTTTTTAAATGAGACATTTATTTTGGAGTAATGATAGGGGAACTGAAAATAAATTACCGAATTAGTATCGAATTTGACGTAGTTGGTCATTCTTATCACGTGTTAAATAATTATTTTTAAAAACTGTTTAAATAGATGAGGTGGACAAAAACACGTCAAATTCGATACTTATTCGGGTTAATTCATTGATCTCCGTATCATTATTCTTTATTTTGAGATAGCTAGAAGGTGAACAACTGAACGTTAAATTTGAGTAGGAGTAGTAAAGAAAAATATTCAGAGGGGAATATAACAGGTCTGGACAAGAGAGAAGACGTTGTTTCTTCAACAAGGAGAATGAACCATCATTTACATTTGTTATTATCCTTTACATCTGATATCATGCTTTACGATTACTATTATGCATCACATTCATCTTACTTTTATGTTGTTCACTAGGACTCTCTCTCTCTCTCTCTCTATAGAGAGAGTAAAGTACAGCAATACCTTTTAAAATTTAGTAAAAAGACACCAAGGTGAAACTTAACCCATTTTAAAACAATAACAACCCTCAATGGTACTTGCAAACCGAGCATTAAAACATATGAAAAGTTAACCTTATAACAACCCTCAATGGTACTTGCAAACCGAGCATTAAAACATATGAAAAGTTAACCTTATCCCTTACTATTTTATTAATTTTAATTATAAAATATTAAAATAATTAAAAACCAAATTACCCTCAACAAAAAATGGACAGGGGAAGAGAGACCAATGCAGGGTAAGCATTGAGATTCAACAAAAATGGCAGGCAGCAACAATGGGTACTCTGCTACCAAACTACCAAAAAAACAAAACCCTAGATTGTTTTATCACCGCCCTTGACCCCAAGTCTCTGATCCTCCCACAATTTTCCAATTATGAAAAACCCAATCTTCTGCAACTCACAACAGAGAGCTTCGTCATGGAGAGAGGACCCAGATACAAAGCGTACGCCGATTTGAGAGATTCGAAGCTTAGAATGAAGAACTTGAGACAACAACAGCCTCAGGAACAGGAATTCAATCTTTCACCACCAAAGAAACAGGTGAGATTTCAGAAGAATTTTTCGGCGACCCCGATAGGGCAAAAAGGGTCCTCTATTCTCACGCAATCGGTGCCCTAATTATGGTGATTCCGACGACGAACTGCCAAAAATGGATCGGCGAAGAGAGACCCAGTTCGGTGAGCTTACCCAACGCCGGAGTACATAAGTCACGCGTTGGGCTTAACGGCAGTGGTGGCAATAGTTGTTTGACGAGGGCGGCGGTGAGTGCTCTCGCCGCTCGGTTGATTCTCTGTGTCTCCGGCAACGACATCAAGACAACGCTCAAAATTGGAGCTTGGTCTTGATTTAACCCACGACGACGAAGCTTCAAATTACAAGACCCAATTCTGTCCAGCGAGCCCCAAATCCGGTGAAGCCCAGTTCAGACCGACGGACCCCAAGCACGAACAGTTGCCGCGACCCAGAAGCTTACCCATCATATCCGGCGAAACTCATCTGTCTATACATATATGTTCACCAAAAGTTGAAAAGAACAAGTGCCTGTATGTTCTTTTCTATTTTTTATTTTCATATATGGTTACCTAATTTTTTATTTTCAATTATCATTGATATCAGTAAGGCACTTGTTCTGCTTTTGGAGGGTTATGACAAAAAGTTCACCATCGCCGGCTGTTTATATATATATATGTATCTGTATATATGCGCCTGTGTGGGGATGGGGTTATGACGTTAGAAACGTTTTTTTATATTTTGATAAACGCATCAAACTTGAGGGGTATCTTTATCTTAAAATAAGTTAAGTTTCATACGTGTATCCTTTTGTCCTCAAAGCTGTCCCTATAAGTTTCATATGTTGTTGCATGTGCTGGTTATTGATGCTCTCTAAATACAAGGGCACTTGGTTCTCGGATACGTGTAACTTTCTAGTGTGATTTACGGTGAAACCCTTTTGGGGTGCATATTGTCCATTTTCACTTCTTCCTTTTTCTAGGATTTTTTTAATTCTTGCAAAAATCCATCATTTTTTATTGTTTACTATTTTACTAAATTTCTTTTACAAATTTGTCACTTTGACAATATCAAATATTAATGATGAACAGGATACGAATAATTTCATTCTTAAAAAAAAAAATTCCATTAAAATGGACAAATGTTCACTATCGATATACTTTCCAAAAACACTTTAACATGCTGCGAAGTATTTGAAACTTAATTTTTCGATGGTAGCACCTTTGTGAAATATTTATTTGCCACAAACCCTTGGTGTTGCAATTAAGCTTGATATCTCTGTTATAGCTTCAACTCTCCTTGAAAAGTAACACTTGATTGCAAATATTGTTTTCTTTGGTTCTTAACCATTGCCTTTGTGGACTTGATCTCTGCACTGCTCCTCCATGTCTAAGCATCCTCGCACACTCAAATTACTTGCCAACATTCCAGAGACCCAATTCTTGTACACCACCAACAACCTCAATGTCAAGTCTCTTTCCCTCTTCTGTTGAGTTGCATAAACGGGACAAGTACAACTTATAATGAGAGGTTACAATTATTGAAAAAGCTTAAATTTTAAGTGACGTTAGAAATGATTCAATTTAAGCACTTGGTTATCAAAAAGCACCTTAGATAAAAGCATACATATCAGATGGACTGGAGTTTCCTGTTAAACAAAACTTTCAGCTACAAATCTCTCTATATTCGCCTCACATAATTTTTAAATACTAATACCAGGATTGAAAGGTGATGCAGAGAAATCATATTCCCGTAAAAATAAAAATTAGTAAAAAAAACACTGAAGTGATCTACTATATTGATGATATATTCCGATTGCTCCAAGCAGCAGTATCCAGAGTAGTTAAAAACCGATCATTACTTGGGAACCAACCATCTGTGCTTCTTTCAGAATTCAAACCTTGGACAGAAATAGATGTGAATTGCCTGCCACCTCCCCCTTACGTATTCTTCTTGATATCAGAATGAGACGAGCTCTGGTCAATCGATTGCAGTTGGTCTCGAAGGTTTTGATTCTCCTCCACCAAGCGATCATACTCTAGAAGGAATCCTTCAGATTGACTCTTTAGAGCTGCTACATTGACTTCTGCGGCTTTCACCTCTTTTGCTTTTGTCTCACATGCAGATTCCAACTTCGTGATCGTTGTCCTCACTCTAGAAATCTCCTCAGCCAAGGCTTTTTGCTCCTCCCCACCTCCATTTTTGCCATCCGCAAAACTTCTGTTTTGTTGCTTCGCAGCCTCCATGGTCTTTCTGAGTACACGAAGTTCTCGTATGTAATGATGCTGTTTATCTATCATAAACAAGAGGAATAGCAAGAAACCTGCATGCAATACACTCCTATGAATTCAAATTCAATATATATATACATATAATGATAATAATACTAAAACATTTCAAATACTGAAAGTACTCGACTACGTTACCAAAAGAAATTTAAAACATAGAGATGTGACAATAAACCTTTTATATCTTTATCTAACATATAGAGATTGAGGAAGTAGATCAACACATCACAGCTATGAAGCATGGACACATATATGGGATAAAGGACAGGACATGGCATAGACAAAACAGTACTGCCAGTATCCGGAACCCTCGGTGTGCTTTTTCACTAACAATTATATATTGATATTGTCTTTTTAAAAAGTTACATTTTAATGTTTTTGGACAGTATGAGAAGTATGACTTCCGAGGGGAAAAAATAAGTATGAGAAGTATCTGACATGTTTTAAGAAAACAAAAACTTTATTTTTAAATTATGAACACATTTAGAAGTATTGAACATGTATCCATGCATACCCGATGAGCTGGGTACGGCTCTCTAACGGGATTTTTACATATAAGTGGCCTTATGGAGACATATTTACTATATGGTTGAGTCAAAGTCTGATAGTTCTGAAAAAATGAAGTTGACCGAAATGCTGATGTGGACTGTATCGTCATAAAACATCTTCTCCTGTGAGTTCAAGTAGCAGTTTTCGTGAGCTTCAGGTCAGTAAGCATCTCTGTTGCGACAGCAAGCTTCACTCCGGTAATAGCGAGCTGCTCTTCATTGGCGTCTTCTTCAATGAGCATCTCTTCGACAACGACAAGCTTCGAACTAGCTTCCATTAATTCCGGCAATGACAAGCTTTGAACTAGCTTCCATCAACTCCGGCAACGAAGAGCTTCGAACCGTACGCAGATTCCATCAACTTCGGCAAGCTATAGCTATCTACTTCCGCCAAGAGTTGCAAGACCCAATTCGTACCAGGGAGGGCCAAAATGATACTTGAAGCTCTGTTTTTGCTTCTGATTTTCAATTTAAAGAGAGAGCGGTAGGAGACTGAATTGTTGGGTTTCATGAGTGAGAGAGACTAGAGAGAAGGGCCATAGAGAAAGGGGGCAGTAACATAATTTGGTTCAAAAAGTAAAAAGAGTATTTTAGGTAACAAATTAAAATCAACAATGACATTCCATGTCAACGTCAGCATTTAGGTCAAACTTCATTTTTTCGAAACTGCCAGGCTTTGACTCAAACATATAGTAAATATGTTTCCATAAGGCCCCTTATAAGTAAAAATCCTTAAAAGTATATGAGGTTTATAGGATCACAAATTCAATATACCAAATCAAACTCTTTTACCTTGATTCAAGTGACCACCGTGAACTAAAAAATCACTCACTATAGATAATTATATAACACAATCTGTCATCAGTGTGCTAAGAAAAAAAGTTGTTAACATTGTTCTCAGGAGTCTGTTTTTGACACTACAGAAGTATTTTATAATAGGGTTCGCTGATTCAAACATAAAATAGTAAAAATAGATTCCTTCAGGTCGACAAATAACAAATGACCACTAAAAATTAATGCACATTTGGAGAAAACTCATTAAAAATTGCAATGGAGCGCCTCCAGGGGTCATCTCTTGCCCTTATTATGGGGTCATCTCTTGCCCTTATTATCTGGCTTTCATTTATTAGAATATTTAACTGCCAGGCAGTAGTACGGCCATGCAGGAGATCAAAATGCTCGCTACATCCTTTCCAAACAAGAAAACCAATTTTAGACCGATTGGATAAGAAAAATACAGAGGTGATAAATCTTAGCTGCAATATATTGTTTTTCTAACAATATTTTCACAAGCAGCAGCTCCATATGGTGATATTTATTCTATGATACACTTTGACGCAATTTCCAAATAAAACGCCTAGAGAAGAAGCAAAAATTATCAATTTAATATCATTAAAACAGTATGCAAACTACATAACTAAGGTATTATTTCAATTTTAAATTGTAGAGTGATATTAGGCAGCTAGCCGGCCTTGGAAAAAGGTTTTCTTGAGTAACGTACATCAGAAAGCTCAAATTGTCAAATATGTAAGGCAGCAGGTCTCTCCGTATAATCAAGAAATCAATGCACAGACATAGTAACTAATGAAATAATCAAGCAGGGGCGGAACTACTTGGAGACTAAAGGGGATCATGCCCCACTAAAAATTTGCAAGAATTCCTTAAAAATAGGACTTCCTATAAATAGTGAGTCTCAAAATAATAAAAGGATTTAACATGTCACTCCCCAAAGTTTAAAAAGAATCTCAATTTGAATACTTTTAGATTATTTTTTTGGAAGTCCACATTTTGAAAGAAAGATAAAAAATTCCAAATATAGCCTCAATACTCAAGATTCTTCTCTCTTAGTGGGTTATAAAATACTTTTACTTAACAAACAATCAACTCACATCCACTTTCAAGGAATTCTATGGTATAGAAAATTATTAAAGTTCATAATTTTATAGTTTTATTTTCATACAAATTATTCAGCTCTTCAAAATAAACATAGGATGGTCCACCACTAACCTAAATTAAAGCATGTAGTTAGACATCCCTTACATGTTCATGCTGACAGTCCTCCAGAAATAACAATATCTAAGCCTGTATGGCTAATCAGTAGATACCCTGTAAAGAATAAATGTCACCAAACATCAAGCATTTCAACAATGCATGCTAGATCAACATAGGATTGAAGGATATCATCAACCACAAGAACCCAAAACCCTCCACAGAGTAGCAGAGAGGAAACTTGTAGCATAATCAACAACACTGAAGCAGTTATTGCTTACTGGGCACTTTATGTAATCTAATAGGACTGTATTCAGGATGCATGAAGAAACTATAATATCCTACTAAATGATAAGTATTATTCTTCTCCTTCCATTTTATTTTTTTATTCACTTATTCTTTGACAAAAGAGACAACCAACATGAAAATTAGGAAGAAAATACTAGCTCGAGAATATTAATAACTTCAATTCCCTTGTTCGTGCATTTCACTATGCAGTTTATGTAATCTAATAGGACTTATATGACCAAATACTGAATGCGTATTCAGGACGCAAGAAGAAACTATAATATCCTACTAAATGATAAGTATTATTCTTCTCCTTCCATTTTATTTGTTTATTTACTTATTCTTTGACAAAAGAGACAACCAACATAAAATTAGGAAGAAAATACTAGATCGAGAATATTAATAAATTCTACTCCCTTGTTCTTTTTTTTTTTTTTTTTTTTTTTTTTGCGTCGTTATAAGGGGACTTCAACCCTCAACCTTTCATTTGGAGGAGAACGAGTAACCACTCGAGCTAAAGGCTCCATATTATTAATAGCTAATCTGGCATTGGATCTTTCTATTTCTTGTCTGTATGGGATACAAGCATCTATTCAAGCAATTTCCTGTCACTTCAAATCACTCCTTTACTTATTATAGATACACAAATTAAAGTTTCTTTCATTTTATCACCGGGGTTGTAGCCTAGTCGTACTTTTTCACCTTCCAAAGTAGAAGGTTAGGGTTAAAGTTCACGTGTGCAAGTTTCAAATAGGGGGAAAAAAGTTCTGTTCGTTTTTCTATAGAAAATGAAATCAATGAAAAATATATCATAATATTAGCATGTTAACTTCGTGCAATATCTACTAGATATGAGAGTATTAGGTAGAAGAGATGTGCTTATTTAGGCATTTCTAGGATTAAACTGCTCATATCAGTATATATTGATGACTAGAATAAAGTCACTTTTATTCATTTGCAAATCTATGGAATCCAATATCCAAAAAAAAAAAAAAAAAGGGACTTAATCTCTTGTGAGCACCATAAAGAAGATCATCCTCCAACCAAGTCCCATATATATATGTTCTTCCACAAATCCCAAATACAGCCTTACTCATCTTATGTACTCACGTTTAAGAAGCAAATGTCATATTCAAAATTGAAATTGCTCTAATGCACCATCAATTTCTCAGACAAGCACACACGCGCGAGAGAGACGGGGGTGGTATATCAGTATAAGCATACATATGTAAGTACATATGCACATACACACACATAACGCTTTGGTTTAATAATGATCCACAAAGCAAAGCTAGTTTGATGATATAAAAACAATTAGTTCTCATCTTGCAACCACCAATTCATCATTCCAAATACAAAACCCCTCAAAGATGACCCAAATACAGCCTTACTCATCTTATGTACTCAAGTTTAAGAAGCAAATGTCATATTCAAAATTGAAATTGCACTAATGCACCATCAATTTCTCAGACACACACGCGAGAGACAGAGAGGGAGGGGGTGGTATATCAGTATAAGCATACATATATAAGTACATATGCACATACACGCATAACGCTTTGGTTTAATAATGATCCACAAATCAAAGCTAGTTTGATGATATAAAAACAATTAGTTCTGATCTTGCAACCACCAATTCATCATTCCAAATACAAAACCCCTCAAAGATGATCCGATCGAAATATCATGAATCGACTACAATAACGGCACCATACATCGTAAATCACAAAGCAATTGAATCAATCTGATAAATCAAAAAGCAAAAATATGGTCAACGATGAGATTGTTACCCATAAGCGAGGCTTCAAGCAAGTACTTGGAAGCGAGAACCTGGTCCGTGGGATTGAGAGCTTCGACGGAACGGTTGTGGATCTCCCTCAGGTTGTAAACACTGACGAGCAAGACAGCGAATACGACTCCGGCGATGGTTTTGACAACGAGAGGACCACTGCCTCGCTTGACGCGATCCAAAGACATGATCACAAGCTTTCTGAGAGGGGTTCTGAAGAGCAGGAGCAGAATCAATGCCGTTTCGGCAAATATCACCATGAAAAGTAGCTGTATCATCTTTCTCTCTCAAAAATACTAAACCCTAGATCGCTCGCTAGAGATTTTAGGTTTTACAGAGAGAGATATGTATGTATATATTATGTAGAGAGAGAGAGGGATCTGTATGAGTAATGAGAATGGTTGATTTCCATCACCATAAATACGCCGGTCTGCCCTCTGCCTATTTCGTCACTGGCGACTACTCATTAGTGTGTTTTTTCCGTGGGAGGAAGGTGAAAGGAAAGAAGATAAAATAATAGTAGTTACAAATTTCTGGGTTAAGTGCAAAACCAAAAAAAAGTACCATCTTAATATGTAAAATGTGAAATTATTCTTTTGGTGTTAAAAAATAAAATAAAAAATACAACAATTTTCAATTTGAGCAAATAACGATAATTCTTGTGAAAATTAAACAATAAAATAACATGTACATTCTCTAATTTTAAATATGAAAAATACGAAACATCACAAATTATTGTATCACAAAAATAATAAAAGAAAATGAGAGAAAAACCTAATTTAATGTTCATTCTTACCCTTTCAATGGATAATTCACACAAATGAGTATATGTATATAAATGATTATTTATCTGCTTCTTAATTTAATTATAACTTAAATATTCCTATGTTAATACTTCAATAGGAACAGAAAGAAAAAAAAAAAAAAAAAGTGTAATATTTATTAAAATTAAGAACATATTCGTCTTTTAATTAACACTACATCATATATCTTGAAATTTATTCTAGAAGTGTAGCATTACTCTTTAGATATAACACACCTTTTTAGTTTAGGACTAACTGAAGCCCCGTTTGAGATGCGTTGTTGATAATTACCAAATTTAGTTCAATAGGGCTTTTGAATGTACCTAAAATTTGAAATTTTAAAAACTGCAAGTAGTAAATGATGAATATTTTTAGTAACTTTTTTTCATTAAATAATTTTATCATTTTTATTTTTTATAAAGACAATTACACTCCTTTCTTAATAAAGTTTCTATTTTTTAATATGGTAATATCTTGTCAAGCTTTATTATTGTAAAATTAATAATAGAAGTGTTTAAAAAAATATAGTTACCAAATAAATTTAAAATAATTTAATTATAAATTGTACTTATTATAATGCGAAAAGATGCATTTTTATACCAGAATTTTCAGAAAACATGTTTTCTTATAACTGAGTTTTCAGATCGAAGCAGAATTTTTTGTATACGTTTCCAAAAACTGTTGTCAGAGTTACACACAAAACAATATTTTTTTTACTTCCCTTTTATAAAATTTGGAAAGAATGTTTACTTAAAATCTAATACTACTTTTAAAGAGTGAAAATACTATTTTATCTATAAAAGAAATATATATTTTACAGTTAAAAAATAAAAATACAATGAATATAATAGTCCTTTACGGCTTCGGGTGAAAGGGGAGGTCTTGTCTTTGCAACCATAGGTCCGTATTAGTAAAGCAATCGAATATAGTTCTACTAATATGACTTTTTAAGTGGATTCTAACTCTCCTATTTATCAATCTAATAATATTTAATAGGATGTAATATTTCATTATCAAGTATTACACAAACATCCATTTATTTTTTAATATAAAAATTAGCTCAAAAGTAGAGTAAGAATATTACTCCTAGCATTTTCTATTTAAAATAGCTAGGCGATGAATGTAAAATAATACTTAATTTCAATTGAAACTATTTACCTATATACAAATTTTTTTTGGAATGCCCAAAACGAACTGGTTAGAAATTAACGTTTTGCAAATGTCATGTTTCATCAATTATTTTATAAAAAGATATTCAATTCAATCCAACAACTGAAGATGGGAGCTCATATTTTAAAGGCAAAACTCATTTCACTCCGGAAGAAATTCAATCAAGTTCATTATGCATATAAAAATGGGGCAGATACTCAGAAAGGTGTCAACCACTATACCGGTTGAGAGAAGGCATACAATATAATTGCATATCAACAAAATGGCCCGAGCACCCGAAGCATTGGCAAAATATATAATATATTGAAGCCTTTTGAGCATGTCCATCATCGTCCTTCCATGGATATAGTTCTAAACAACCTACACTTCCTCTTCTTTTTCTGGTTAAATCTGCAGTCTGTTCATCTTAGACTATGTCATAAACAACTGAGAAACACCTCAGTTACCATCATCGAAGAACTCAATGCAATCTGCCCATCAAAAGGTGCAGTTGACAAAAATTGCTACAAAAATCGAATCAATAAAGCAACTGATCTTGGAGCTACGCGCGATATATATAATCCTGCTTAGGTGATAAATAGGAATCTCAGGTCCGCCTCGGTTAATTTTCCCAAAGCTTCTGATGAGCCACCCACCGTCCTACAAAAACCCCAATTAAGGTAACACAAAATTGAGGAACCACATCTGGTAAACCATTTCAAAGCTAGCAAACCATTTAAACTTACCCTTCAAACACAAGTTCCTTCTTCTCCTGCAACTTCAACATTCTCTCCTCAATTGTGTTCTCAATAACAAATCTAACAATCCTATAAATGCAGAAAATAATAAATAAATCAAATTTTGCTTCAAGGGAGTCGCATACTGTGATGCTTAATCCGCGATATTAGGAGGGGACTAGAGAGTAGTAAAAAAGGAACCTGATTGGTTTGTATTGCCCAATCCGATGGATTCTATCTTGGGCTTGCCGCTCCACAGCTGGATTCCACCAAGGGTCCATCAAGAAAACCTTGCAAAGTACAACATGGAAAGCCACTGATCAGGAAAAATTGCAAGAAAATATTTTTCTTGAAAAGCAGAAATCAATAAAACCACGGTGCAAAAAACAAAAAAGCCACAAATCAGGAAAAGTGGCAAAAGGAATAGAGGTTCTTACATGTGATGCAACTGTGAGATTGAGAGCAACACCTCCAGCTTTTAAGCTCATAAGGAAGATTTTGCAGTCCGGATCCTCAGTAAATCGAGTAATTGCAGCATCTCTAGCACCCATGGTCATGGATCCTACTAGTTGAACACAATCAATGCCAGACTGCAAAAAGGTTCACAACATCATCATGGTCATCTTTTTAATACACTAATAGAAGGCTAGAACCCAAAATGTTCTTTTACCTTCCGGAGAGAGTAGTGTATCAAATCCAAGAATGATGTGAATTGGCTGAAAACAATTCCTTTCGCAGATCCATCCCTTTCAACCATGAATCTGATTTCTTCCCTCTAAAAACAACCAACACACTCAACAGGAAGCAAAAAGATAAAGGACTATTGAATAAAATAAGTCAATATCCGGAAACTACGAAAGAGGAAAACAATAGGCAAATATCTGTCAAAAACATCCAATTAACCAACTTAATTTCTGACAATAAAATCATATTCTTCAGGGATGGGATAATGAGAAATAAATTTGTGTAAGATGAGGCTGTTATATTGCACAACTCAAATCAGGTAGAGTAATGGTTAAAATACTTCTAAGTTTATTACACCCCTTCCAAAGGACAACATTTGAACTGGAATATTTGACCATTGAAATGATGAACCTGATAGACATTTTATAATTATTATTACTACATATGTACAGAAGTATTCCCATGGGCATCTTGAGCTTCTAGAATTTAAAAGGGAAGCTAATCAGGAGAACATTTGGAACAATGGAAAGTAGAAGCAAAGCGTTATAAATGAGTTTGACTGATAACAATGCGTGTTAAGGAATTACACAGCCTTGACATTGTTCCGTTTAATCTTATTTAAATTACTATACAATCAATTTTGTTAGGTTATGTGTTTGAGTTTGTTTGTATAGTTATCTTATTTGCAGAGTAATCTTCCATATCTGATTTAATTTGCGCTGACTTTAATTGTTATTATTTGTTATAATAATCTTATATATTGTGTACATGATGCTTATTCTCTTTTACTATAAATTTTTAACTATTCTAATCTTATAATGTACTGCTGGTTACTTATTTTGCTATGTATGTTCTGCTAACTTGATAATTGAAATCATTATTGTAAAGAAATCATAAAATTTAGATATTTGATTCTCCCATTATTGGTTCCAAGACCGGCTGTAGAATTACGTCAAATTGTTACGATTAATTATCATATGAATAAGAAAAATATAAAAATAATAAAAAAGTAGAAATTAGAATATCAACATGGAATATAGGCATATTCTTTTCTTTTTTTTCCCAGTAAATCATATTTAGGCATATTCACGACTAACTGTAATGAACATATAGTCACGTTGAAAGAAAGAAAATCTATATAATTCGTCTAAATAATGATAAAAACTGTCCTAAAATAGTAGTGCTAAATATAATAAGTGGCATATGCCACAAAGAGCACTCGAAAAAAAAAAAAATGAGGATACCCTGGGAATAATTGGATGAAATAATACAAATTATACCATGAAATTATATTTAAAAACTTCAATAGTCATGTAGGAGTTGTGCGAACTGAATACCTAAGAATTCATAAAGAACGTGATTTAAAGAAAAGAAGCAAAGAGACTCTTAGAATCTGCAAAGGTCTGCGGTGTAGCTATAGCAAACACAATCTTAAAAAGGGAGCAGAACGCTTGATAACGTTTGAAAATGACATAGAGAAAACACAAAGAAAACGCAATATGTAACGATTTTAAGGTAATCTCTAGAAAAAGTCTCACAAAACAAGCTCAACTAATTATAAGATCAAGTAATTAAAGGACTCAGATATCAAATAGTATAAAAAAGATATCAAAACATAAAGTGGATAGAATTGAGGGGTAACATTCAGAGAATAAATAAAAAAATAGAAAAGAATGGAGGGGCAACAAAGAGATCAAGCTAGGGAGAAAAAAAAAAAAAAAAAAAAAAAAAAAAAAAAAACCCACAAAAAAAGCAATGGGACAAGGATGAGTTATGGTAAAAATAGCAGGTTGCATAAAAAATCCGCCAAGGGAAACTTCAGAAGAAACTAGAAGGAAAACAAAAAATAAAGTAAAAAACATGGTGGTGAAATGAGAATTATACCGAAAGAAAATATGTAAGTCTTCAAAGAATGCAAATAAGTAAGAAAAGAATAATTTGGAGATAGAAAATTTAGAAGTGAATCTAGGAAAATTGTAAATTTAGAGATAATGCTGCCATGGCAGAAGAAGTGTTGGTGCCGAAGAAAAAATAGCTCCACCTGTAGGAACACGAGCTAATAACATAGGAGGCTCAAAGATGTCTCGGTTACTGGTTAGGTGACAAATACTCCTTATGGAAAATTGGACAAATACCATTATCTGATGGCAAATCAAATAAATATGCATAAGGTCCGAAATTATGAGTGATGTGGAGATATCAAGTGACTTGGTACACGAATATTGACATAGGAGAAGACGGAACACATGCGGCTCGTCAGATTATTGGTTAATATTGAAGGTAAAATACAAAGAGGAAGACTATAAATAACATGGAGAGAATCAATAAAATAAATAAAATAAAGAAACTAGATATAATAGGAAACACATGGCTTATGATAAAAAAGAATCAAAAAGAGAATTCGACCAACCCCATTCAAATGGGACCAAAGTAAGGATGATAACAATGACGACATTGTTCCGTTTCATGTTCCATGCAATATTTCAACTTTTGACTAATTGGAATCCAATGGTGCATCTCAGTTAACAATGATTTTTTTTTTTTTTGGGCAAATTGCGTAAAACCCCCCCTTCACTTTTAATTTTTGGCAAGAAACCCCCTTGAACACCCCACACCCCCCCCCCCCCCCCCCCCGGCGCCTCCTCCTCTCCTCTTTAAGTATCTAATTTATTGCAAAATGATGATATAATGACGAAATGCCCTTTAAAAGATTTTTTAATTTTTAATTTTTTTCCTTTTACATTTTTTAAAAATAGAACTTTTAAGAATTTTTTTTTAAACGCACACCATTAAAGTGAAGTTATAATGTGAATTTAAGAAAATTTAGGTGGTATTGAAATTATTTTCATTTTAGATTTTTTTTTTCTTTTTATTTATTTTTTAAAATAGAAATTTTCATAAATTATTCCAAGGTGTTTTCATTTTCTTAAAGACGAACCATTAAAAAAAGTTCCAAAAAATTTTTTAAACCACTATGCTGAATGAGTTATTTGAATTAATTTTAATTTTATATTAAGAGAAACCATTTTCTTAAATTTATATTAAGGGGTATTTTCGTCATAATAATATCACTTTGCAACAAATTGAATAGTTAGGGGGGTTTATGTCAAAAAATTTCTGCAGAAATTTTATGCAATTTGCCCCCCTTCTTTTTTTTTTTGTTCATGCATGCGTGTGTTGGGTTGAAATTGCTACTGATGCATATACAATTTGTAAATGGCATTCAAAGAGAAGGCTGGACTACAAGAATCAATTACAGGGTTTCAATTTTTAGAAGAAGATTTTGGCATTTACAAAAATAAAAATCCTGGAGTGAGACTCCGTAGCAAGGTTTCATTTTCTTAGAAAAGAAAGCTTCCCTTAAAAGCTTGACTTTGTTTTCAACCACATTTATAAAGAAATCAGAACCACTAGTCAAAGTCATGTGAAGAAATGGAGATGAAAAGGGTATAAATTATGCACATTGAATATTAACTACTTAGCAAAAAGGCTTAAATTCTAAGAAAAAAGAAAGGAATATAGAAAACAGGATGGAAAAGGTTAGAGATTCACATACCAAAGCCTCTATTTTTGTGCTTGTCTGAAAATCATCAAGCTGGATTCTGTTTAGAATACTCGAGGATTTAAACCCTTTAATGGTTGTTTTTGTATTCTGATCTCCATGATCAAAGTTGGTAGTGAAGTCAACAGTAAGTGGTTTTGAACAAGAAGGGCATGAAACTTGTCCAACACTGGCAGAATAATCAATTAAACAAGATTTACAGAAGATGTGTGCACATGAAGTGACCTGAAACAATTTTTAAATAAATGTATTAGAAGAAAAAGATTAGGTATGTGTTCCTCAAATGACTTGAGAGGACTGATCATGGAAAACTCCGAATGCATACTACCATATCAGTACGAAAAATTCCTTAGCTAAAATATATATATATTTGTATTGTCATATAGTTTTTTCAGTTGAAAATCAAAAGGTATCGATTTCATTTTGTAAGACGATTAAGTCACTTTAAGAATGAGATTATGGTGCATGTCTAATGGCAAAAACTCACAAATGAATTTAATTTGGAAAGTGGAAGAAAAAATATATAGAATGAACAGGAAAAAACAGAGAAATCCCAAACATAGAAGCCACACTGGGCTCACCCATGGCAGAAAAGAGTTGGGGTGGTGTTTGGGTATGTAGTAGAAAAGTATTCAAGTAAATTACAAACTGAATTATAACATGTAATCCTTTTTATTACAAAGAACACTTTAATGATACATTATTACATCAATATGATGATAAGCTGACATTTTTTCAAATGTTAGAATGCCATCATAGGTTTTCATTCACACTTAAGAATGTCCTTTCTAAGACAATCCAATATAGGTGGAAAGATAACCTGGTCACTCGAAAAACAGGTCACCACCAATAGAAATGTCACTTTTTGCCTCTATTGTTCCTCCTTTTCCCAGCTGACATATATACTAAATCCAGAATAACATGATAACTACTTGTAAAAACACCAACAGTTAAAATCAGGATATAATTTCTTGTTCCGCTAGTCCAATTTTTCTGGAGAGGAAAAATTAAAATAGCCATAAGACTCCCTCACTTTATACAATAAATAATAGAATATTAGACACAATTGTATGAAGCATGACTAAGTCCCACATCCAGAAGCAAAACATAAAAAATTAAATTCATAAAATATATATATATATATATATGTATGTATGTATATTAACGCACCACAGGATCCTCTACTGGATCATGACACAAGCCGCATTCTTGTTCGCTGTTGCCAGCATCAACAATACTTCCAGTTCTTTCCATAGCAGTACGAGAATATACTACAAGGTAAGGATGATCAACTGCCTGTAGAATAAGAAAGATTAATCAGATAATGGCACAGAAGATACATCTAAGGACCAAAACATCTTTAAATCAAAATCATGTAACATGACATTATCACCTAGACTCCTATATCATGGTTGATATGACAAGCTCATACTTTAAACTAACTTCTTTTTATTTTTTTTCTCAATAACGTTTTCAACTTATATTTTAAAGGAAAGGGCTCAACTCAACTTGGTCATGACATAAAATCAAGCTCAAGTCATTCCCACTAACCTACGTACTTTGTATACCATACTATTTGTATATAATTTCACTAAGAAGAAACTAGTAATATGTTTATTTCTAACTTTGTTTCTTTAGAAACTAAATTAAGTGCTCAAATCATAACTAAAATAAACTCCTTCAAGACCACAATTTAAATAATCTAATTAAATAAAAGAAGAAAAAAAGTTGGAAGAAATAAAATACCAACAAGGCCGAAATCAAAATTGTGATAAAAAATGAAGACCAAGTGAAGTATTGGATGACTAGTGGGAGGATAACTTGACAAATCAAGATACATAATATGTAATCAGTCAAACGTATGTAAAAATAGATCCAAAAAAAAAGTTTTCACAAGTCTATCACATTAATTGGTTCAATGGATGATTGGTTAAAGTAAGGGTGCAACTTGGGCATGCCAACCAAAGCCCAATCCGAGCAAAAACAATTGGGATGTGCTGATGTGCTCAGGGTGAAAAATCTCAAAACATTTCGCTGCATTTGATACCCTCTATGGATTAATAATTACCCAACTAACCCTACAGGCAATATTTCCCATTGCATACTTAGTGCTATTCCCGCAGGCTATCTCATTAGCCACGCATATGGTCTGCCCATCAAGCTGTTCCATTGAGCTGCAAAAAGAGAAGGTGGCAACATGACCACTTCCTTACACATGATAGTCATTACATCCACAATAGTTGTTACCCTCATAACCCCCTTACTCATCGCATATATATAGATGGGGCATGCGTGTATATAACCTGAACCTGCATGTAAGGAAACAAAACTAACCCGGTAACCCCACTTAATGAGAACGGCCATCATTGAGAAACCTAATGCTTTGGCAACCTTTAATAGTAGCATAACCTTAATCCTAGCCATTGTAGCACCATGACAGAACCACATCTCTATCCTCTATAAAATCATCCGACCTCACCTGCTACTGTCTCCTTTCTACCTTTTTTTAGACCTATTATAGTGTCCACCTTGAACCTATGTTATATCTCAAGTACACCTACGTAACTAAGGGCTATAGCCTAGTGGTACACCCTCACCTTCCAAAGTAAAAAGTCAAGGGTTCCAGTCCCCATAAGGAAGAGTGGATGTGAGTTTCTTGCCAAGGTTAAAAAATAAATGAAGATAAAAATAAAAGTAACACCTATGTACACATCAACACTTCGAACCCACAAGATCCAAATACACTATAATAAAAATTGTAGAAAAAAATAACACTAGACTATACCAGTAGTAGTCCGACAAACACAGACTTTTTTAGAGGAGAAAACTGAAGAAAGACCCAAAATTAACAATAATTTACACAGATGCTCTTAAATTCAAACCTGCTTGGTTTTCTGCCATCACACCAAGCAATGATGCCTACCAAACATATAGACTATAGTAATTATTAGTTAGGAACTATTACATACTAATTACTTATAAAATGATTAGTAATAGCTAATTACCGATTATTAATCAGTCACTATGTACTAAATAATAGTTACCAATTCATTCCTATGGTAAATTATCTTTTAAATTCAATGCAGTTCAGTATCATTAAAAAAAATTATTGGATTATAAAATATAAAAAATGCTACGAGTACAGTTCTGTTGAGAGGTTGAAACCTCTCAACAACCGGCATCCATTACTGGTACTTAAAACCTTGTTTGAGCCCCAAAATATACCAGTCAATAATTATTACCATTAATATATTGCAGTATCAATGCATGAAGATATCTGACCAAGACAATCGCATAAAACCATGACAATTGTGCACAATTACTACGCAATAGAGTAGAAATGTGTGGCATAAGCAATGAAATTTTCATACCTCCTAAGCCAAATAGGCCTAAAACTAAATGGCTATTAAGCAGAAATTTAAAAAAAAAAAAAATCCACGTTTATTTTTCTTCCAAGCCAGATAAAATGGTTATGAAATATCTACAGTACGCCAGCATACAAAACCCATGTATAAAAGTATTAGAAGTAGAAAAATCTTTCACCAGCCGCAAGCGTGTGAGGAGGTCAAAGATGTGGGCGTAGTTATTCATCACAGTTCCTTGCTGAACATACCTGCAAATGAGAAAGCATAATTGCCAACGGTGAAAACAAATTTATATAAGCAACTAGAATAATGAAATTTTGGGACAAATATAAAGTTATGAGCCTTTAATATGGAACACAAAAACAATATTTCCTACACACTAACTAGGACATGGGGAAAATATGGAGTTTTTCTTTGCACACTATTTCCTACAAGGCACTGAGAACAAATATAGCTTCTAATGACACAAAAATATAGCGAACCAACTTTAACTAGGACATGGTCCTTTGAAGGAAGCAAGAATCCTGATCCACTGATAAGGAAATTAGATTAAAAATCCGGAAACACCTCCAGGTTAATAGCCAGAACCAAGATGCATACCAAGCTCAACCCACCTAAGGTGATCGAAATAGATAAATAAAATAGAATAACACTTCTAGGAGATAAAGGTTAGGCAGCCTCTTTAAAAATTGAAAGGTAAATCGTGTTATCTGTTATGTTTAGATGATAACCAAGCCTATGGCTAAAATTCAATTCTCTTAGTGTTTTCTTCAAATACAAGAATGAATGGATTGTTGATCCACTTTTCTCTCATCATTATTGCTGATCAAGCAGGTTTATGTCTATTGACAATTTAATCTTCTCAATCCAAACGCAACATAAAAGGTCATTATCACCATTTGAGCAACAAGGATGTGGTGCTGGGATGGATGAAATGGGTATATACTTATTTTTTATGTTATTATGTATGACAGCTCTCAAACTCTAACCCAAGTCCAAAACGTTGGAAATCCGAGCTTTTAGCATTGCACCAAGTAATTGCCCTTAGCTAACCATGTAACTATAGAGATATAAATGCTCCTAGGGCCCACACTGATAATCAGATCAATGAAGCAGTCTTATCCCTTGCTTCTGGCATGCTTCTTAGTTGAATCTAATAACAAGATTTATACCACAATGCATTAGGATAATAAGAGGGCTCTCAAATTCCTATTTGCAATTTCTTAACAATAAGCTTATCTTTTTCTGTGCATCTCATCTCCAGATAATGTCTGTTAGAATTTAGATATCATGTGCTCTCCCTATTTATACCTTCTCAAAGATAAAACTATGATTTGGTTAGCTAACATCGCAATTTGAAAATTTGGTAGTGATACTAGTTTCCTATGATCCACTTATATAAGCCTTTTTCACTGGGCAAACTAAAAAGCTACATTAAAGCAGAATGCAATCTGATAGAACCATGACCAATTCAAATAGGACCCGTAACTGCAGATCCTGAACCACAGATACACTATGTTATCTTGTATCAACATTAGAGCGGGAAACCAAGAGTTATGATCATGAAAATCAGGCATGCGTCTTAACAGATTAGCCTGGCCTCAAATGTGTTGGGAACAATCTGTAAGAACAAAAAATAAACAGGAATATATGGCATTCCCAACTCTATTTGGTGACTGGGGCTAGGGAAGCATTAACTAATAGATGCTATTATGAGGATCTTGAATATCATGGAAATGAACCAAAACAAGAGTTACCAGTGCTGTGAAGGTGCAATCCTCTATCAATTCTCTCTTCTTCTTTTTTCTTTTTTTCTTTTTTCTGTTTTCTTTTTCTTTTTTATTTGCGGTGTATGTGGGGTTCTAAATGCACCATCTCCTCAATCAATTACAATTATTATATGGAACACATAATTCTGTGATACACAATCAGGGTACAGTTGTTAGATTTTGGAATTGGAAGGTGATAAGCTATTTTTCAAAGTTTCTTCTACCCATTAAGATAAGATATATTGGAACGCAATGTTAACAACTTAGAATGCAAATTTCTACTGAACTAAGTTATCTACAGTTTTTGGTTTCTTCTCACAACATAAGAAAATAAACTAGACAGAAAAAGAAATCTGCAAGATTGCTAAAAACAAGAATGTTGAGGCTTGAGGATAAAGTCAAGCAATACAGCAGGAATACATAAGAATAAATATCTCACCTGTGTATCAGTTGAAAGCAACGAAAGCATAGATGAAGAATTGAAGACATAGAAAAGTACATACGTATTAAATTGTGCCTGACTTTCATTGTACAGTGATATGTAATAGTCTTCTTCTTTGATATCCATAGTATCCCGTCTCAACGAAACCTGAATAAATTGTTTAACAAAATTAAGAAAATAAAACCAATATCAGATATGAGAAAATATGAAAATGGCCAATAAAGATGCATGACTTGTGTTCTCGCACAAGAACTCACAATTCTAGGAGGAAGCGCAAGATCTGCAGCCCTGCCCTTCTTAGTACGTCTTAGCACTATGCTTTTCAAAATTTTGTGCTTTAGCAAAATCATTGCTCTTTGACCGGCCCCAACATTCCCTTGAGCTTGTATTGGTGTGGCAATATACTTGTATGGATTTTAGATTGGAATAAGTAACAAGCCCAACAATATTAAAGTGCATTATAAAAAAACAAAGAAGCAACAATAAGAAAAAAAAAGTACTGAATTGCATAGCTCACTTTGTTCCACCAACAAAAGTGCCTCACAAAATTATGAGGGCATTTCGGACATTCAGCTGAGGCACTGTAATTGAACAACAAAGATATGGAATAAAAAATTGTTAATAAGACTCTAAAAAATTCCGACCAGAAACTGAAACAGATGGAACTTGCAAATTTGTGATCTGTGTGATGTTGTTTTGGATGGGGGGGAGAAAACCAAGCTAATAAATATAAAATGGTTTGAAAGTTGATATAACAGCCAACTTGGCAGCTTTAAAAAACAAAGAGAAGAATAGATCAGGTGACAGAAATAATAAACAAGAAAAAGGAGCAGCACACTAAAGCAAAATATGGCCCACAACACAAGGTCCAACTCCAAATTGACATTGAATGACTCAAGTGCAGTTTCAACAAAACCTTACTGTTGTAAATTCCATGGCGAAGTAATGGAAACTCTGGGCAGAAGCTGCACTTGACACAATGAAGAAAAATTTCCCAGATTTGTCCTATGGTATTGTGCTTCAAGCACAAGAATAACTGAAAATTTTGTTTTATCAAATTATATTACTCCCTAATGAAGAGTGTTCCTTTATTTTCTGCAGGATGCAATAACCGAAAATAGATTAAATATACATGCCTCATTCATCCAATAATATTCAAATACTTTAACAGCAAGTGATCCAATAATATCAAGACTGTGCAAGAGAGTGGGGAGTACGAATCTGTTTTACAATGCAAAATCAGGTAGGCACATAGATCATAAGCAATCTTGAACCATACCTATACTCCAGTGTTCTGCAATCACAATCCTTACAGAAATAGTACGAGTAAGGGACTATCTGAAGGAAGCGTACCTGTCATTGTAAAATTGTAATTACATCAGATTTATAATTTATGGTTGCCAAATAAATGTAAACTTAATACACAATAGAATTACCAATGAGTAAAGTTCTCCAACACGATTCTGCAGGGGAGTCCCACTTAGAGCCCATTTATAAGATGATTCTAAAGCAAGGACAGCTCTCGTGGTATTACTACGTCTATCTTTTATATAATGAGCCTACATAGGAGAGGGAAGTTAGTAAACTAAGTGAGAAAGCAAAATGAGTTCTGAAAAAAGGATAGAACATTAAAATAATAAAAAATATATTAATAACTTTTTGAACAGAAAATATGAGAATGGTTATGGACAGAAATAAAATTGATAGATAAAATAGAAAATATTGCATTACTAACTTAAGCAGTAGGTAATTAGGAGTAAAAAAAAAGTGTAATTTCCACTTAAAATGTGGTAAAGTGCTTATCCCCATAAAAAAGAGAAACAAATATTCCTTCACAACTAACATTAAAGGTTCAATCTCAACAATATGGAGTTGCAGAGCAAGAAGATCAATACTAAGCTTGCTCAAAGCTAATCTAGTAATGATAAATATGTCTAATAAAACTGCAAAAATTGTGAGACTTAATTAATGATCTTACAGCCAATATAAAGTTTTAAAATTGACATTACATTTGGATGGTATTGTGTTGGTTCCTTCGAAATCTCCAATCGTAGAAAATAATTCTCTTTTGTGCATGTTTTATATATATATATATATACACTTTTTGAACGTAACGTGAATAGGTTATGACCCATACGTAACGATTCACGTTACGTTCAAAAAGTGTAGTAAGGGGCATTAGAGTTAACCCGGCCCACTTACAATCAAAGCATCAAGGCATATAATCAGGATCATTAAAATACTGCCAACAACGTAGGTACATATTTGTGTTTCTGTATGGTCTAAAGAGATCATAACATGGTGCCGGTGCCCCTACACAAGGTGCTGACGTCCCGGTGCACCTACACAAGGTGCTGACGTCATAATGCAATGCCGGTGAACCTACATGAGGTGTTGGGAGGGAAGCTTGAAGTGAACTTAGGCATTGTTTTTGCACAAGGTGAAAGCTCTAGTACTCAAATCCGCATCCTCATGCCCGTCAGCTAGAAATTCTACCATTGCACCAAGCAACAGCCCCTCTATAATGATGATGATTGTGCATTTACTTTTTCTTTTTTTAAAAGTACAATGTTGCATTACCAATGCCTTCATAGAAAATGTAAGCACATTTTTCAATTTCAAAGTAATATATAATAATATGGATGCGGTCTTATAGCTGACTCCACCAATGTGGTCTTATAGCTGACTCCTCCAATAGGTCATAATTGCTCCATATTTCATTGTTAAAAAAAATAAAAATTAGCTTCTCAAAAAATATATGATTAGTTAAACTAAATATTGACCCACACTTGACAAATATGCTTGTCCATGTGAGTCGAGATGGAGTCGATGGACATGGACAGACAAACAAACAATCAGATACACACACGGAGTACATAGCAACCAGTGCAATGGTCATAAACCCCAGTTGTTGTCTACAAATTCATAACATGTCAAGTTGGAATAAATGTGAAGTAAAGCAACCAACATAAGAAGGATTTTCTAAAACAGTGGGATTTCAAAGTAGCATACTGCATACCTCATCCAAAATAATGCGGTCCCACCTCACAGAATGCAAAATAGATTTCCTTGTGGGCAAGCATTGTTCAGCATCTGCTGAATTTTCCATCGTAGAACTAGTTCCTATATCTTTGTCCACGCCTTTCGACTTTTTAGCCTTCCTGACAGCACCCTTCCTTTTATCGCTATCAGATTCACAAGCCTTGCCTTTATCAGATGTTTTCTGCTTTGACATTCTTCGCCCAAATTTCTGCCCCTTCTTCTGTTGCTTTGACTGCTTAGCAGTTTTAACAGCATCAGGCCCACAGAAGTAGTTCAGGTGAACAGACAACTTGTGCTCATAGAATGACTTCCCACACCACTGGCACTTCTGTTTTGGTGGCATCACATTTTTCCTATATTCAGCCTCTACAATCGAATATGTAGTTATGACAAAATCATATTCAGAGAACTGGTGAAGATTCTTCCCTCTATTGGTACCATGATAAACCAGAACTTTGTTGCTTCCTTTTGAGGTGAAACGTTCAATCTCATTTACCCACTGAATCACAGCAACCACCGGACAAATAACGAGGGTGCCTTTAACTTTAGGCAACTCCAAGGATGAACTTGGTGAGGGTGCAAGTATGTTAAGGTCACGAAATTCTCGGCATATTTCTCGTTTAGCAAGGACAAGAGCAATTGCTTGGGCAGTCTTCCCCATTCCCATCTCATCAGCAAGGATACCCCCTTTTATAGCAGACTCCTCTTGCTTCAAGGCCCAAGCCAGCCATTCCTTCTGGTACCTCAATAGAGGCACGATCAAATCCGAAGGTGCCTCAGATGTTTCAGCCACCATTTCATTCTGATGGTCTAAGTCAAAATCTCTCGTAATATTCTCGTCCACCCATCTCTCATGCTCTTCTTCCCAAACTTCCCACATCAAGGTCGACCTAGTGTCCCTTTTCCTTTTCCCCTTCTTCTTCTTCTTTTTCACATCCTTCAAACCAAGAAAATCAATCTCTGCCACATGACCCTCTTGTTCTTCCTTATTTGTTCCATCCACGCTCTCTACCTCATCATCTTCCCCTTCCAATGCCGCTCCCTTGTGACTTGCCTGTCCCATTTTCTTCTTCGACCAGCCTTTCCTCCTTTTCGCACTGTCTTCCCCATCACTAACTTCAACCTCAGCAATTGGTTCATTATTTAAGTCCAAAACTGTTTTACTTAACCTTTCAATCGCACCCAAGAAATCATCACCTACATTTACATACAGATAAATGTATAAGAATAGTTACAATGAGCCACTAAAATAAACTGTACCATTCCATTCCATTCCACTCCACATTTACTTGACTCAAAAAGTTAGTCCAGACTCTCCAGTTCATCAGATTCTCAGTTAAAAGGCTTACTAAACTACCAAGGCTAGGTATATGTGTGTGTGTGTGTGTGTGTGTGTGTGTATAGAGAAAGAGAGAGAGAGGGAGAGAAAGAGAGATACAGTTATAGTAGGCGCTACTACTGACATCAGAAGAATCTGATGTCACGTGATCATCATCTTCATCGGAGGAGATCTCTATATACTGGGGATTATTGCCTGCTTTGACCATTGCTAATCCAAATTATCAGAAATCAAGAATCTATAAAAGAAAGGGAAAAAACAGAGAGAGAACCAAAATATAATTCAGCCAAATTTGGCAGAAGTTGTGTGTCCTACATAATGAAGAATCTAGAATTCGAAACTTGGAATTTCTTTTATTTCCTCATATTTTCCCGGCAATCAAACAGCGCATTGATCATATAATAGAACCAACCCCTTCCAAGAATACGCCTATACAGATAAAATCTCGGTAAAAGAAACAAGAAAGAAGAAAAGATTTTGGAACATTACCTTGTTCGGAAGGCCCGGAGCGACCTGAGCGAAGGTTCATGGCGGTGAATCGAAGACTCTCGCAAAATTCAGAAATTAGGGTTTGGGAGAGGTATTGTTTGTTTCAAGGTGCAATGGGGATATGATACCGCCAAGCGTCGTGTCTTTCTATGGGGGGAGAGAGAGAGATTGTGTAGCCTGCTCGAGTGGGCGGCGGGAAAGTTCTTTATGTGTGTAGACTGGCAGTGGTTACTGAGAGCGCGGTAACTAGACAGCAGTGGGGCCCACCCGGAAGAGATTCGTGCAATGAGTATGGTTTGCTGGCTTTGCAAGAGCCGTTTGATTTGAAGACTTTTCTCCATCAGTTTTGTTCTATTATTATTCTACCTCTTGGTTGTGCGAAGCTAACTTCATCATGACCGTACGATTTACGGACTTTCCAAGTTTGGAAAGACTTTCGTTCCGTGATACACGAGAGAGAGAGAGAGAGAGAGAGAGAGGGGTGAGTGGTGAGCGTTTTTTCACTACTCGCTTTTTTTTTTCCAAAGCTTTTTTGGTAGGGCTTCCCCAAGAAGTAATAAGACTGTTAATAGAAAATAATTACAGTAAATGGAAACTTTTGAATACTCATATATTTTATGTTTTGGCTTCTTCAAGAAGTCTCTATAGTCAATAGAAAATACTAAAAGAGAAACTTGAATATATTTTCTGTTTTGGCATGGCATGAGGATTCTTGTCACATGTGGGCTCCCAAAGGGCTTTGACTCTTTGGGCATTACATGGTTCTTATACGGATGGATGATAGCATCATTTATGGTTCTACAATGTTAGTATTTATTCCCTCTGTTTTAACAAGACGTCTTATTTCAGGAATCGTGAATCGTGATTTATTAAATAGGACATCTAATTTAGGACCAAAATAGTAATAAGTTTAAGTTTTTAAACTAGATTGCGAAATATACAACAATAGTTACAATAAGATAGTTATAATAAGGCTTTAAGTTTTGGATTGATAATTTTATTATAATTACGTTCGGTAGCATAAAATTAGGGTGGTGGAATTAAAAAAAAATGTGTTCGAATTTTATCAATTTTAATTTTAAGGCTTTTATTTCATAAAATTGAACATACTTTATAGATAGTTGTGTACTGATGAGAAATTTTAAAATAAATTTTAAGCATTATTATTTGTAAAAGTAAAAATAAAAATAAAAATTATACTCCAAATTAATTATGTGAACATTCATAATGATTAGAGGTTACAGTCTAATGGTATTTTCTCTATCTCCAATCTAAAAGGTGGTGGTTTGACATCATATAAGACAAATAAGTGTGTGAGTCCCGGGAAAAAAAAAAAAAAAATACCATATTAGTAAAAATTAGACCAAATAATTTTGTTAATGGTGAACAAATGAGTAGTCTCCATTGCAAGGAAAAAGGAAAAAACAGTAACGGTAAATAGGCCAAATAATTTTGTTAATGGTTGTGAACAACAAATTTCATATGGCATGGTGCACCTTATTTCTTAAGGGTAAAGCGCCAAATAATAATAAGAATAATAACACAAATCTGCTATATGGAATGTGCAAATATCCTTTTAAAAAAATTTGTGCATTTTACAAATTGAACAAATAAGGACATTTTGTCAATTTGAAGATTAGGATAACTTAAAATGCCTTGAAGACAAAATAAAAAAAAAAAAATATTGATTTCAGGATGAGAGGGAGAAAGAGAGATTTTGGGGTTTAAATAAATAAAAAAATGGTCAAAATTTGATGATCAACAAAATTGAGGGGGCAATTGCCAATTTGTACATTTTTTCTAAATATTAGAAATTTATATGCACATATTTTTTTTTATAATAGAGTTTTTTTTCTTTTTTTCTTTTTTCACTTTATGCTTAATTGACTTTAAATTTTAGTGTGCATTTTTTATAATCCACTTCTTATTAGAACTCCTTAAGGGGTTAACAACTAAATACTTGTGTTGTATAGTTTAAAAATATAGGACTACTACGCATGGGGAGCAATGGAGCATGGTGGAGAGAATTACTTGTTTCATAGTCTCATTAAACCAAAAACCATACGGCATAGCTTTTTCAAACGAGCCCTTTTTTTTAATGAAAAAGTAGTGTTGGGACAATTTAGACTTTTCACAATTATTCAACCCCATTGGAGTGAGATGAAGTATATCATGTGTTTCTCTCTTACTGAATCCTCTGCAACAACCGATTGAGCTTGAACGATCACCTACTTTTAACTATGCAAAATATTTAAATATTAAATCATAATTTCTAATAGTTTGCTTGAAATTTTTTCTTTTAAAACAAATACATGAAAGAATTTGATTTATTTTTTACTTAACTTTCTTTTATTTTAACTTTTTACTACTAATTTCTATCTCCACAGAACCTAAATGATAAATTTATATTTACTTACACCTCTAGACTCCTGCACGAGAATTAGATTCCAGAAATGGAATTATTGCTTGGAGCAACACAAGGTGATCATTTTTTTTAAAATTTTTTAAATGGTCTGTTTTAACTTGGATTTACACTTGCCTGACTTTTATAATTACGATAATTGAAAGAGATCATATTCACTCCACTTTCTCCATTTGAAATTTTAAATCAATGAAAAAAACCAAATTTTCTCTCAAAGAGTGGATTGTAAAGGTACTTTTGTGTACCTTTTGTAATAATTCAGGAGTTCAAGTTGAAGAACAATTATGTCATTTTTTATTATTAAAAATAGTGAAAACAAGAAAAGTGCAAACATCATCACCCAATTTACTCAATTTGGTTTAATTATGAATTTTGATTTGCTTGGCTTTAGTTTTCAAATTGACAGTATTTTAGCAAATTTCTTTAATGCTATGTTTTGGATTATAGTTTTAAAGTGTAAACAAAATTTTCTCCGATTTCGTAACAGTTACGCAAATTTTAATCTTTCTGGAAACACTTGAAGGGGATGCAGGTGCCATTGGCAAGAGGGTAAGCAAATATCCATAGATCGTGTGTGCGCGCAGAGAGAGAGGAAATGCAGATAGTAGAAGATTTGCATTGCATTTTAGGCGTTTGGCTCTTCCAGCCTTCCAATCTCACTACCATTTGATAGGTTATTCAGACCATCCTAGACTCCTAGTAGTAAAAAAACCATATTTGATGAATTTTAAATGAGTTACACAAAAAATACAGCACACAGTGGAACAGTCCCTACAATCCAGTAACAAGAATACATAGAATTCCTGCAAAGCAAAGCAGCCAAGACATGCACAAACAGAGCCCTTTTGCGAGGAACCTCCCTCATAGTTCACATCCAAGAACCAGTCACCCCCTCGTGACGATTCATAGATTGTACTGTCTTGTAGAGGTCGTGTTTTATGACCTTCTATGACCTATTGCCCGACCACAGAGAAGAGCATTACTTGGAATGGGATATTCATCTCTCCATGAATTGGCTGGGGAATAAACGCGAAGATAGAACTGCTGACCCAAGTATTGGCGAGCCCAGTTCTCAGATCTTACATTCCACATTCCCACATTGTCCAAAGGCATGTAAACTGCAGTCCATGACATGGGATACACCTAAACACATATATCAAAATAATTTCATTTATTATGACAACGCCATAAAATAAAAGGGGCTAAAACATATAGTAGTACATTTTTTTTGAAGTGATAAGCCCAAATCAATCTCAGTTGGAAGATAGTTTGGAATTGAGTAACTGAAGAGTGGTGTGTGCATGTTGGAAAGTAGTTTGGATTTCAGTATGTCAACTTCTCTCTCCTCTTTCCTTTTGATTTCAATCTCGAGATCTTGTCCTCGATCATCTTATGTTTCAGGTAGAATTTTCCTTTCCTTTGTTTAGATTATAGCCGGAAGCATGGTAGTGGTGAACCTAGGCTTCCATAAGCAGTTCTGTTGGGTTCTGCATTTTAGTGGCGAGCTTCATGTGAAATTTTTCTACAGTTTGATAGTGGCCAGAGAGCTACCCATGAAGTGCAGCTAGAGGCTAGAGCTTTTTGGTGTGCATAAGGTGTGGGTGCTCATGACTACAAAACTTGCAAGCTCCACCTGGATTTCAAGCTACAATCCTGGTTGGTTCAGGTTTTAAATCCCAAGTCGTGTGGATCCACCATTTCAGTTTCTTCATTGAAGCATATTTGGGTGCCAGTCTATTTGGTTAACCTTTTTATGGGATGAATTGGGGCAGGTTCGGATTCCTTCTACTTGTGATGCGTCTCAGGTTTCATGTCGTTCCATCTGGTCAAGAGATTGTTTGAGGTTTTGTGAATTTCGTCATAAGTAAAGAAGCTATATTTGATGTTGGCCAGGCTCCCCGGCTGTGGCAGAGTTTTCTTTCTAATGAGCTAGGTCCTTACAGGTCCATGTATTGAGTTCCATTGTACATCCTAATTTTCTGTAATAAAAATTCTACTAACCTAAACCTTCCCCCCACTCCCCCAACACACACACACAAAAGGGTATCATTCAGGAAGCTCATACCTGAACTGTGCAACGAGAAATTGTGTCTCTTAAGTTGTAGTTTAATCTGCTCGCAGATGACCATTGTCCACCGTCCATCCTGTTCATCCCACAATGTTCATAATTTTTTATCAGTAATGAAAGTGGGGAATTGATATATCAACAACTGATTTTTGCAGAATCTGAATGCTTTTGTTTTCTTACATGGTTATATTAGTATGCAATTAAAAGGGGTTTCAAATTTTAGAGTAAAACTAAATGAGTTGAGGAAATGTAGAAGCCTCTTGCAAATGTGGAGCCAAAAGAACTCACCCGACAACGAAGAAGTTGTGCCCATCAATGTGCCATGACTGCACAGTGTCTTCTTGGTTTTCGAACACAACCTCAACATAACCTCGGAAATCGGCAGCCATGACAGAAGTCTGGAGGTAACCACCACCAGTAGGGTTGTCTGAGATGCTTCCAGGGCTGAAGACACCCGAAATGTTGAAGTAGTCAGCAAGTTTCAGTGGCGTGTCTGCTGGGATAAATGACACGCCATTGACTGCATATCTTTGCTTGTCATTGATAATTGGAGCAGAGTTTGCAAGTCTAATTGTACGGGTGGTGTTGATCAATCCATAATGGTAAGAACCTTGGGGGTTAGGTCTTGGCCCACTTGCCGTTAAATTTCGCCTGGTATTGACATGTGACAATTCACAGTAAGAGACCCTATGCGTTTTATCAAGTAGTGGTAGGGAAATATAAAACATAGAATTCACTAGAGTTAGACTGTATCCGTTGCAGCATGGTTACCAATGTGTACAACTTCAAAGGCATTAGGATTCAGCACATAAGCAAATCCTTTCACATATTTTCCATAACATCTTAAATGAGTCTGATTTTGGCTTTTCATAGTAAATTTACTTAATTTATTGTCTAAGTCGGACCATCACTTGAACTTCAAATGAATACGTCGTTACACTATTTTTTATATAAAGACGATGATTCATTCCTTGTCCTCGTAATGACTGCCTCGTGAAGGATAAAAATAAATGGAACAATTTTCCCTTCCATGCGGTGTCAATTACCTTTCCATTGTGAAAGTAGGCACATAGTTGCAGGCATGCATATTAAGACAGTCAAATTTCATCACAACACATACAGGACGAATGCACATATCAGATCTATAAGGGGAGAAGCAAAATGCAAAAGCATACCTAATGGACCGGGCCTGATTGAGAGACCAATCAATCTGAGTTGTTGGTCCACCAGGGGGAAGACCAGAAACACTTCCTGCTGAATTACTGTAATGAAGGATGGATGTTGCAGTGAGCACTTGGGAGGTGAAACGTGTCGACACGACAATGTAGTAGTCTTGTCCAGGTTGATCAGCTGTAACCAATACAGAATAGGACTGGCCCAAATGGATGTCAAGGGAAGAATAAGTGTTCTGGAGTGAGTGGGTTCCTTCCACCTCTACCAACATCATCTTGTGCCCCTGGATTCTAAAATTGATGGCAGTTGTGAGCCCCACATTTGATATCCGGAACCTGTAAGTCTTGCCTGGCCAGCAAATTTCGAGACCATGAGATTTTTATAAACACCATATCATACATGTAAAAGATGTTAACCCTTAACTGGCATAACTAGTCACCTTGTTCAACTGTGAATGTATATCCATTTGATCCACGACCATTGATAAGAAGGCCATCAGGGAAAGGAAGGTCATGTCCACCGTCTAAAATTGCTTTCAAATCCTGTAAATCCAAGAACAGCCCAACATGAATCTTTTCAGCTCATGAGCATTTATCAAATAGCATATAAATAATTCATTTTCTGGCAAAAGTAGAGTACGTTGGAGTATTGAGTCATTGGAATTTGTTCTAGAAAATCTACTTACAGTGTGATTTTGCTTGTACCAGTCTCCAGCCAGTACGGTGAAATCGCCAGCAGGTGGAGGGAAAGGAACGGGAATGACAGAGCGGCTAGAAATTTTGATGCCACCAAACCCTCCTGCGGCCTTGTGGAAAGCAAGGGATGGGAAATAGAAGTAGCTACCAATCTGATCTTTGACTTGAAGGACATAAGTGAAGTTCTGTCCTGGTGGGATGGGGCAGTTGGTGCCATAGACTCCATCCTGCCACGAGTTCCTTCTTTGCTGAACACCATTCCTGCTCAAGAATTAGAGGACTTTAATGTTAATCGGGTAATAAAGTTCTGTTACAAGTTTAAAATGTAGCTTGTACTTTTATGGGGGAAAAAGTTAGAAAATTCTAATATCAATTCGAGTCCATCAATTATCAGTCATTTGATTTGGTCACAATTCGATCCTTGACATTTATTGAGGATATGGAAGTTTGTCGCTAGACAATCCATCCAATTCAACGCGCAGTAATATTTTAGCTGCGTGGAGCAAGTATTCAGCAGTGGTAACTTCCTTTCATCTATCTCTAGGATCATTACACCGAGAATCGTAGACCTCGAAGAACTTTCAAGTGGGCCTATCGGACACATGGTCTAAACTTTAAAGTGTAGATTGATAATACAATAACAACTAGCTTGTCCACAAAATATGTTAGCATCTCAAAGTCATCTTTACATGTAGAAAAAGATCACAATGATTCCATTAACATTCATCTCTTTTAGATGCACGTCGCTTTTACTTAGTATTACAATGAATTTGGCTCTTCGTTTCAATTATTTGAGTTTGCATGAAACTTTGAAGAAGGACAATAAAAGCAAAATTATGAGCAAGGAAAATCATTTTTGAGAAATTAAATTTGTACTCTTTTAAGCATGAAACAAAATTTTGAGGAATTTTGTTCTTTTTTTTTTTCTTTTGCCATTATTATTATTTCCCCCTTCACTCGTTAGATCTGGAAATCAAAAAATATATTTAAATGTCTACACACCATACTGAAGGCACCAACAAACACAAATCTGCTAGCAATTGCATTCAGTTTCCTTTCTAGATAATAATAAATAAATAAATAAAATGACTCATAAATTTAATTTCGAAAAGGGGAATCTTGTTTAATTGATCAGTAAGAAACTAATAATAGTAGTAGTAATATAAAAGGAGTTCATTAGGATTTGATTCTCTCATTCTCAAATCTATCAAAGGAGAATAATAATGATGGAAAATGGTGCATTGAACCTACCTATCTCTCTCTCACACACATAAACACACACACAGATTGCTGAAGTAAAGATTCCATTTTGAGATTTGGGACCCGCTGAAACGATCTAGTTCTCCCTCTTCCCAATACTACAGACGTAAAAATGGACTGGACTCCCAACTCCCAATGAACAAAGAATATAGTAGCATAACACGGAGTACTATTTTTCTTCTTTTTAATCAAATAAACATGTACGAGGCAGGTTAAAAAAAAAAAAAAGATTAATTACAATGACACTCTGAAGTTTACTATAATGACAATTATATACAAGTTGAGTTTTTTTTTAACAATGACACCCCTTATCAAAAAATGAATCCAAACAATCCCTTAAAAGATATGAAATGTCGATATTACCCTTAAATATTTTATTATAAAATCTCTAAATTCATAAATGACACTTTTACCCATCAAAACCTCACCAATCTCTCTCCTCTCTCACCTTCTTTCATCAGAAGCCCTTCTCTCTCTTTACCAATTGAAAGGGTTGGATTTTTGATTCCTGAATCCGGACCATTTCCATGGATTTGCAACAACTAAAAAGAAGCGCTATTCCTTATTTTCATCAGGTGTCTATGCGAACAAGAAAGAGAAAGGGGGGAAGAAAGCAGCAGCTTGGATACTTAATTGGAGAAACTTTTTGCCCTAAGTGGTGAGATTTTACTGACAGATTAAGTGTACATAAGGGACGGTACTGGAGAGAATAGGACGGAAAATAGTTTTATTTTATTTTATTGATAAAGGTTAGAAAGGTAATTTCATCACTCAATTTGGTCAATTTATAAGTCAAAGGTTAAATTTGTCAATTCAGATGCAACATGCCATTATTGAGGTGTCTTTGTTACCTTTATCAAATTACGAGAAGTGTTGTTATTTAAAAATAGCCCAACTTATATATACATGTTATTATAATAAATTTAGTGAGTGTTATTGTAATTAATCCTTTTAAAATAAAAAATAAAAAACCAACTTATATATACATGTTATTATAATAAACTTAGCGAGTGTCATTCTAATTAATCCTTAAAAAAAAAATAAAAAAATAAAAAAAAAAACTAGAGCTAGAGCTTGCAGAGACTAGTCTACTAACCAGGAGATGAGAAAGGGCTCGTCCAAACTGTTGAAAACACTGATAATCAAGTTGTCATTAGTCACCGACTCGATCTGTGGCCCGGGAAACTGCCCGTTTATCAATATTCCCTGCAGCCATACACATATATATCACATTTCATATAAATATATATATATATATATAGAAAAATCAACAATAAAGAAATCGAGACTCCTTTTTTTTATTCAAAGCTCAAGCAAACGCGCACACTGGAACTCGAACACTGGAGCTGCTTCAGCAAGAAAGAAAAATATAGAGAAGAGTGAAAAGGGTACCTGTTGTTTGACACCAAGAGGGTAAATATCACCATAAGTGACGTTCCATGTGTAAAATCTGTACGGGTCTTCGCCATTGATGCAACTCAATAGCAAAAAAAACATCACCGACACAGCCAACACACTCCTCTTACCTCCCATATCGTTTTCTCTCTCTAGCGCACACACAAATCACTGAAGAAATACAAAACGGAGCCTCTCTGAGTGCTCAAATGAATGGCTGATAAAATGTGGTAAGATTCCAAAAGAATGACTGATAAAATGTGGTATGTTTGGGAAATAAAGGAAACAACAAAAAAAAAAAAGGGGGATTGGAATGTGATGGAACGAGAGATCTAAAAGAACTTATGTCCCTCTCCCTTGTTTTTTTCTTTATCTTTTGCTTTGTGGCGCGCTTTGAATATTTCTGGTGATTGGGTAGGGTCGGTGATGTGAGTGATGAGGAGAGAGAAAGTGAGAGAGAGAGGATAGAGATGGAGAGATGCGTAGATCTCTCTTTGACGATTGTGGGAGTGTGCACCTATTTGTAAGCAGAGACTGTACCAAGCCAGTGTATGAGCTGTAATTCAAGAGGAGGGAGAGAGAGAGAGAGGGGCGTGTGACGTCACTAACTTAGCATGGTAGATTTTCTATACTTGAAAAGCTAAAACTAGATCCTGAAACTTGTCATGATTCTTGAACCAACGATTGAAATTGAGAAATAATGAGAAAGTCTAATAATAAATAAATAAATAACAAACACTTTACTACAGTATAATTTATAGATATAAATGTAAAGACACTTATTAAAAAAAAAATATCCTACTATGTAATGCAATAATAAATTTTAATAAATAATACCATGTTCAAATTGGTTGGACCAAATTTATGGTTCACTTTATCGGTTTAATGCTTTCTTAACTTCAAATTCAATTCGGACTAGACAAGAAGCACGTAATGTATATATATATATATATATATATATAACAAACACTTTACTACAGTATAATTTACAGATATAAATGTAAAGACACTTATTAAAAAAAAAATATCCTACTATGTAATGTAATAATAATTTTAATAAATAATACCATGTTCAAATTGGTTGGACCAAATTTATGGTTCACTTGATCGGTTTAATGTTTTCTTAACTTCAAATTCAATTCGGACTAGACAAGATATATATATATATATATATATAACCCTTTTTCAATTGATATCTAAAAGGATAAAGTGAGAAAAAACAAAAAAACTCCCACTATATACAAATTGTGTTAAAAAAACTCCTATATTTTTCAAATTGATCAAATAAGGAAAAAATTTCAGATTAAAGAATGAAATGTCTACAATACCCTTAAGACAAAATAAAAAAATAATAATAATGATTTCAAAAATTATTGATTATAAAAATTTTGGGTAATTTGAGGTTTTTACAAAAATTTTGTGACTTTTGAAGTTTTTATAAATATTTAAAGACTGAAATACCTAAAATGTCATTATGCTTATTTTGGAATTTTATTAAAAAAATAAATTAAAAAAATAAAAAAATTGGTCAAATTTGACTACCAAGGAACAAATTTTCAAATTATAGAAATTTATATGCACATGCTAAATAGAAGATTTGTTTTTTACACATTTTTTTTTATTATATATGAGAGTTTTTTTTTTTCTTTTTTTCTTTGCACTATACCCTATTTATATTTACCGACTAAAACCAATAAAATGAGTATTGGATTGTTTTAAGTCACGTATACAGAATTAAGTGTCTTGAAACCTTTTTTTTTTCGTGTAAGCAAAATAAGAAAAAATACCACTCATAAGCTCCTCACTATATAGAATTAAATAATCTTGAAATTCAGACCACCAAATTAACTCAGAATTCAGTTTCAAATAGAATAGTCATTTTAATACTAAAAAATGTTTTAAAAGTTAATTAGCATTCCATCAATTCATCACTCTTTCAGAAATTTTAGTTCTAAAATTTATCCAATATGCTAATTCGATGTTGACATACATAACATTTGAGATAGTTACCTGGTTATTACTTATATTTTTTCTGCAAATCGATAGAAAATTCATGGTTCGGTACGACTTATTATATTCGTTTTTGATAGATCAATATTATTGAAATTAAATAAATAACTAGGGATTAATTTAGTGAACCAAACAAGCAAAGCAGAGGACCGACACTTTCTGGTTTCTGATGCATTAAGAGTGCATGGGATGAGTTTAAAAGAGTCAACCCTCAAATCTTATTCGCTTGTTTAGTTTGGTAAAAGAATCATTTTCTTAAATATATATTATTTTTGTCTATTTGTTTATTTCTTATGTTAGCCAAATGGATGTCAAGATCAACTAATCACCTTTTCTCATGGTTAATAATAATTCACATGCAAAAGTGAGATTATGTTGTCCTATGTCGTTTGACTTTAGGGTTAAATTAACCAACATGAAGTAAAGTGCATTATATTGGTCAATTATAGCGGGCGATGGATGCTTCTTTAGTCTTAATTTAAGTTTAATTTTTGAAAAGTAATAGTAATTTTTAAGAAAACATGTAAAACATACATTGTCCCCTTAAACAGTCACAAATTTATCCTTTTAGATTTTGAATATTCAAATTTGAAATTTTAAATTCTAAGAAAATTTGTGAAACATATATTTTTTTTTCAAAAAGAAAAGTAGACAATTATTTTAAGACAGTAAAAAAAAATATATATATATATTTTTTTTTGGGACGGAAGGAATAATACTTTACAGGATTTATAAAATAATTTTTGTTTAAAAACAAATGATAAATGCTTCGAAATTTGAAGGAAGGATGTCGATTGAATATGAAGAAGAAAAAAATTAATTTACGTGCTTAAATGTGATGTTGTTGAGTTTAAAGTTAAACAGTTGAGAACTTGGGAAAGGACTCCCCAAATCTTGCATGAATTAAAGGCATTAAAAGTGAATGAATAAGGTTAGGTATTCACTATTCAGCAAAATGAATTTATTATTATAGCCTTTAGAAACTGTCGGTCCATTACAAATTGTATGTATGTATGTATACAACAAACCTGTATTAATTGCGGTACGTATATTCTATGTACGCATTCCATTTTGTTTGAAACTTTGAACATGAAGGCTGAAGCTGACCCGAATCTACAGCTGGCATTTGCCATTGTTATTACGCGCTTTGCTCAGATCAAGCGGGACCCACGCGAACACTTTTGTCAATGTTTGCAGAGCCAAGCCACCCGACATCTCTGTGTGTGTCTGTTGTGTCACAGTTTGTGAAGGACTAACTGGTGGTGGTGATTCACTGATTTCTACTTTTATCAAATTTGATGTCTCCTCTCTGTGTGTTTGTGTGTGTGAATTGTACAAATCAAATTACTGTGCTGGTTTAAAACTGGTATTTCATACTTTCCTGCTGAAGAGCTCCATTCAAGACTTTGGACAAAATGGCTACGTGGATCGATTTACCCGAGTTTTGATCCGATAACCACTTTTCATAAGTATTTTTTGAAGTGTACATTAAAACCCAATTTCAAAATTGGATTTTATACGAACCGCTCCTTAGAGGAGCTGTCTTAACCTCGCATATATCCATGGTATAGAATGTATCGGGTTATTCATGAATTTCATTGTTGAATGTTGATGTGCCCATAAAATTCAAATATTTCTTCTTCATGCACCGACGACTAGTTATAAAATTTTTGATGCAAAATGTGTCAAATTTTTTAATTTGGACGACTTTGTTGCATAAGAGCAGATGAAGATCACGAATGAAAGAGTTTAACAATTTTAATTTTATAACTTAAAGACAACATTAAGAAATTTACGATAAAAGATAATGGGAGGATTAAATTATTCCCATTGATTTTGTTCTGAAATACAGGAAGCAATGATTGGCAAAAAGGTACAAAGCATATCACCGACGTGAACGGCTAAAAAAATAAGTAATATAAGGAATGGAATACTATTCTCAAATTTTCTAATCCACGAAGCAATTATTGGCAAAAAAAAAGGGCGCAAAGCATATCACCGACGTGAAGAACTAATACAATAGCTAAAAGCAATGGAAATACTATTTCCCAATTTTCTTATAAATGAAGCAATTATTCTGTATGTTTTTATACAAGTGGAACTAACATCATCTTGACATCGTCATCTCTACTTATACTCACTTACAACAACCGATATGGTTTTCCTTTTCATTTTCAAACCTCACACACCCAAAGGCCAAACCAATAATTTATTCAACCATAATAACATTATGCACTCTCTTCCTCTAGAATGTGAAGGTCTCATGCCAATATTTCAGTAAGCACAAGCATAGAGCATTTCAATTTATCAAGAATATGGCATTCAAGTCCAACAAAAGAGTCGAGAATCATAATGTGTCTGCATATTCAGCTACTGAGTTTGCAAAAATATGAGTGATACTGATATATTATCGTAAGGCGGGCGTGCCAACAGTCTAATTTCAACCAATTTATTCAATGGTGTAAAATATGTGAAAATGACCAACAGATAGCCCTCTGATCAGGCTAAAGTGGCCAAACATGAAACCGTCTTTGTTGTAACTTATGAACATTTCATATGAACTGTACATTCATTCGTAAGAAAACTATGCTTTACCTCACATGGAAAAAGGTAGAAGTGTTGACGAGATTCTGATGATGATTTAATCGACGGAAACTTCTGCACTGCTCCACCGAAGTATTTGCTTCCTGGAATCATGTTAGTGATGAAGTGATCAGTTATTAATAACGATGACAATGCGATTGTGTCTCTCTTGAATATAATAGTAATTTTATGTATATTATGCAATTGTATGCGAGCTAGGTTCTCAAGTTATATTTTAGGTTGAAACTCATAGAGCCCACAATGATTGTCTGAACTTAGTTGTAGCTCACCAGCAAATGATATTTTCCCTACAACAAAAGGATTAAACACAGTGGATCACAGATTCCAAGATCAGCTCATGCAATTAAACAAAGTCGAGATCAAGCAAGCCGCGCACTTCTAGTCAGAGATCATAGTCATTACAACAAATACTGGGTGAAAGCCCTTTTGCCACTTGCCTGAAGAGGATGCAAAAATTATCTGGAGATCACTAACAACATGAACAGCTATAGAACTGTGTCCATAGGATAGCAACCGAGTACACGAAGAAATGTTGCAAATTCCTGCAAAGAGAAAGAATCAATATCGCAATGCCTCGGAAGAGGGTAAGTCCACGAACTGCAATATCTTTGCAACATAAGAAGTGGGAATGGAAACATCACTGTCACGTAAATTAACAAATAGTTATGGGTACAAGCAGGGAAAATGTCATCTTATGCTAATTTCGGTCAAGACAGCAACAGCAAACTGCTAATGGTAAAGTGAAATAGAGTGATGTACATTTAAGAATTATACCATTTGTCGTGAAACTAGTAGCCAGGCAATGTGTATTGCTTAAGGAATCCATAGACTGGAAATTCTTTCCAACATGGGTCAACAGAAATGAATGAATTCAGAACATGTATTCGAGTTTTAGAGTAGCCACTTTTGTAAACTTGCACTCAAGTTTTACGATTCAAAGTCCTTTTTTAAACAGAGAATGTGAATAATTTTCAGTGTTGGGATTACAAACACCAACAACTACAGTTTCAATTTTGCTGAATATTTTGTTTCAATTAAACTGAAAAGAGAATTATTCAAAAGTTTAAAAGTAGTTAAATGCCCCAAACCTGCAAATGTCCCAAAGCATTTTGTGCACGAGGCTCAGCCATGGAAGCCTCAAAATCGATGTAGAAGAAGTAATCGAAGAACCTGAAACCATAAATTAGTCAATTAAACAACAAAAGCCATCTTGCCTCATAGAGAATAATTCAGTATTTCCAAATCCAAGGAAAGACTGAAGAATAAGGTCTACATAGCCCAAAGGCACATATTTGTCTATTTACAGGATACTAAAACATTATTAGTTCAAACAACAAAAGACACAAATCACGGATTGAGGAAAATAATTACGCCGGTATAAATAGGATGACGTACCTCAAATCCAACAGGTGAAAGGAAAATGAAAGAGGAAAACACATACACACGCATAACATAAACCACTAGACAATTGCCAGAAACTGTTGATTTATTTATCTATTACAGAAAGTTGTCTCCATTTTTATATTGAGCTGATACTAATCCCTACTCACATACACAATCTTATGCATCAAGTAAATTGGGAAAGAGTTACACTTGAAATGTCTCAGATTGTTGATTTCTTTGAGGTTTCCAAGAAATTATTGATTTCCTCTGAAATTTTGTTGACAACTTTACTCCTCTACATTGAGGCAGTCAAGAAAAAGGAGCTAGAAGTGTTTGTGTTCATCATCATTTCATACATATACAGAAGTGTAGTGATCTTCCAACTGCTGGAAGCAAAGATATTCATGGACAGAGAGGAAAATGACTAAGGTAACAACTCGTGAGAGATTTGTTATATCTAGAAAACCACATCAGTGATATTTTTGGAATCCTTGGAAGGCTTTTCACATCATGCTCCACTTCTTTATGCAAATACTTAAGTAAACATGCTCTCAATAAACAAATGGTAAACACAATTGGAATTGAATCAAGCATTCACTTCTAAGAAGTTGCCTTTGCCATGATCAAAAATCCGACTCGTGTGACCCCATGTCCCGTGTTAATGTCCATGCAATGTAGCTTTCAAACAAAATTAATCAAGGCACCTATAATTTTTTTGGGGAAATCCCATCAGTTTGTACCAACAAAATGACATTTAATAAATTAGGGAACTAATATGGATTCCATGTGGTCTTTCAATCATTTTAAATCAAATGTGAAATCAAGTACATACTTTGCAGTCCCAGTGTTCGAGTCATCAACCACCCTTAGTGGCTGCTTCCTCTGTGGCCGACTTTCAATCTGAACGTGAATGAAAAAAAGGTCGTCACTCGGGATTTCTTTTTGAAGGACATTCAAAAGGAAACAAATTGTTATATCAAGATACCTTCGACAAACTTATATCCCGCAGTGCAAACACTGCTAAAGCTTTAAACAGTACTCCAGGACCTTCTTCCAAAGTAAATACAATGCTTGTCTGGAGTTCAGAACATAATTTGATTTGGAGAAATTTAGCAAACACTAAAGCAATTAAAAATGGCAAAAAAGGGACTACCTTAAAGGCCTTATCTGTTCTAGAAATTATTGGATCCCTTGCAAGTACCAAATAACGAGTAATATTATCAGAGTCATCCTGCAGAGACCATGGAAGTTAAGCAGAATATCATTTCTTGTGACACAATAGTCATACAACTAAATGGCATCTCTTTGTTTGAGTGTTTGGTGCATGTACATGCGTTACACTGCCTTGGCACACCTTAGTGGATTTATTTATCTATCAATATACATACAGCATTAACGCCACAAAACAAATTAATAATATATTTAACTAGATCAAATGAACACTCAACAGAGGGGTTGCATATCAAGATATACATAATGCTGCAATATTTTGTTTTGACATTTTCTGTAGTCTTGAAGTCATGCCTTGAGGCAACTTAGGTCTAAACCCAACATTTATATGGAATATATCAGAGACTCATGGGGAAAGAGAGGTGAGGTGAGGTCTGGAATTGCATAGCACTTAACCAAGCCATTTGTCCAGATGTTGATGCTTTAACATAATTCTAGGATGTGTTACGAATTATCAGTGGCAAACAATGTTCACCTAAATGGAAACTTCAAGATGAAATGAATGAGCATACTAGATCGATAATATAGGGATCTACAATCATGGTGCCCACAATTCCAATACACGTGGTGCAAACACCTCCTTTTAGGCTTATGCTGCTCAATATATTAAAACCACCAATTGAAGGATACAGGTCATAGATAGCCGTGACATTGGGGAGATTCCATACCACAGGTAGTTCATTAGCTGAATGTATGCACAGATTATTCCTAGAAAATATGCTAGCCCTGGTTGGCCATCAGGGATTCCGAAGAAGATAGCGAAGAAATTTTGGTAAAGAAAATAGGGACAATATCACAGTTTGATGCTGGCCTAACTAAATATTGCTAATTTCACTTTTTTGGTACGAATGCTGAGTCACCATAAAAGACTAAAGGATGAAAGAAAACATATTGCCACTGCAGCAGCAGCCACCCTTAGCCTACCACAGAAGTCACAAGGGCGAAGGCAATCACCATCTTTTGCAACAGCATCATTAAAACACACTCTTTAGATCTGGTTTACCTACCTTCAATGCCACCTCATCTACAGTACCATTATTCTTTTTTTCTTTCATTACAAGTTATATATCAACAAGTACATATATATATATATATAATGCATAATTTTATTGAATATGACTTCATATAGATGTAGTGCGAAAAGCTATGAACAAAAATGAAGTCTACCAGTTGCACTAACCCCAAAAAGAAAAAGAAAAAAAAGAAGAAGTGAAACTGAAGCTCAACTAAGTTGAATTAAATTTTTTATTCCCATTTAAGCAGAAAATGGAAAATAGAGTTCTCAAGTTTTGTTCTACCCATTTTCTTGGCAATCAAATTGAGGCTAGAAGAAACGGGCAATTAGATATTTGAACATTGAATAGGTGGAGGAAAAGATATACCTGGATTCTTTCGGCAAGTATATTAAGCCCATAAATTACTGCAGCTCGAGCACTTGCAACGACACCAGCATCCCTTAGTCCATTTGAGGATACAAACTGACCCCAAAAGGGATTTAAGTCAAAACAAGATCATTATCCAGTATGGTATAAGAAATGCTAATTAATTTGCCAAAGAGACAATCACAAATCACCTGAGCAGCACCCGCTGTATCAGCGACATTCTCTCTGGCAACACCTAATTTACTCAGGACAATATCACTTTGTGCAAGTGCCTGTGTATAAGAATTTCTCAATTTGTAAAACCAAGACCAAAATTACTAAACTTGGAACTTTCTAATAAGGATCAGGTATTTACATTGTTAAGAATATTAGAAGTCAAAAAGAATAATACAGTAAAATTTAATTTTAATGTGGTAATATCAGTATAGGAGAAGAGCAACCTAGTTAAATGTGAGGCAACAGGTGAATAGTCCATGACATATACCCCAGTAAACTCATTACACTTTCAAAGGGGCCAAATTGAAAGTGTAAACCATCACACCTGCACAGAGGTCTGGTTTTCTAGTTTCCTTCACTGAAGCTTATTTTGAAACTTGTAGTTTAATCTTCAAATCTAAACAAAGGCAACTTTCTAAGCACAACTAAGAAGATTTGGTTGAAGCATGGCTTAGAAAAAGATGAGATTGGAACGATTTGAAGCCATTACTCCTAAAAGGAATAAGATGGCGAAACCAAATTTGCAGCTGAGACATGTAAATAACAAGTCGGGTATGTAACATATCCTTTTTCGATGCAGTCAATAAACTCAACACAACAAATCCTGCTGCCCATTTCATGAGACAAACCGTTGGAAATAAGTGGGCTAGATATACACAAATCAATATTTTGGAAAAGAAGTGGGAGGGAGGAATACTTGGAAAATTGTTGTTTATCATGAGAGATAGAGAGAACAGAGAGAACAAATGTATATATATTTCACCGACACACACCAAATAAGCCTATATAGGCTTATATAAGGGATACAAGCCTCCTTAATAACACAAGGGCCTACTAATATAATGTAATTACATAATGGCCCAACATATATATATATATAACATTCTAACACTCCCCCTCAAGCTGGAGAATATATATCAAATAATCCTAGCTTGGAACAGATAGTTCTTAACCGGTTATGACCCAATGCTTTGGTAAACATATCAGCTAATTGATCTTCAGACTTCACGAATGGAGTAGAGATGCTCCCAAGCAATATCTTTTCTCGAATGAAGTGACAATCAACTTCAATATGTTTGGTCCTCTCATGAAACACAGGATTTGAGGCAATGTGAACTGCTGCTTGATTATCACAGAACAATGGAGTAGGAACTTCAACTGTCAACCCAAGTTCTTTTAGAAAATGTTGTATCCAGGTCAACTCACTAGTAGTATGAGCCATTGTCCTATACTCAGCTTCAGCACTAGATCGAGCTACCACCGTTTGCTTTTTACTTCGCCATGTAACAAGATTGCCTCCTACAAATGTGCAGTAGCCTGTAGTAGATCTCCTATCTGAAGGAGAACCAGCCCAATCGGCATCTGTAAAACCTTCCACCCTGAGATGACCATTTGATTTATATAATAACCCAACACCTGGAGCTTGCTTGAGATATCGGATAATCCGAAGAACAGCAATCCAATGTGGCATTCTAGGAGCTCCCATAAACTGACTTACAACACTAACTGCATATGAAATATCAGGTCGAGTGATAGTGAGATAAATTAATTTCCCAACTGGACGACGAAATCTACCCGGATCATTAAATAGATCACCCTTATCAGACACAAGTTTTGTATTCGAATCCATAGGAGCATCAACCGGGCGACCACCTAACATACCTGTTTCTTCTAATAAATCCAACACATATTTTCGTTGTGATAAACTTATACCCTTCTTGGATCTAGCAACTTCAATACCCAAGAAATACCTAAGTTTACCCAAGTCTTTAGTGTGGAATCGATATTGCAGAAACAACTTCAACTTAGCAATGCCTTCAGAATCATCACCTGTGATCACAATATCATCTACATATACAATAAGAAAGATGAAGCCAGCTTTAGTGCGCTAGTGAAATACCGAATGGTCAGTCTGACATCTGTTAAGACCAAATTTTAATGCTGCCTCAGAGAATTTTCCAAACCAAGCCCGTAGAGATTGTTTCAATCCATATAGGGCCTTTTTAAGGCGACAAACAGTGTGAAGAGACTCCCCCTCAGCAACAAACCCAGGTGGTTGCTCCATATAAACCTTTTCGACTAAGTCACCATGCAAAAAAGCATTTTTAACGTCTAACTGAAATAGAGGCCAATGTCTATTAGCAGCAAGAGAAATCAAAACACGAATAGAAGAAATCTTAGCAACAGGGGCAAACGTCTCATCATAGTCAATACCATAAGTCTGGGTATAACCTTTGGCAACAAGACGAGCTTTTAACCGCTCAACGGACCCATCTAGAAGATACTTCACAGTGTAGACCCAGCGACAACCAACTGGTTTGACACCTGGAGATAAAGAAACAAGATTCCACGTGTCATTCTGATGCAAAGCATCAATTTCATCTTGCATGGCTTTCCTCCAGCCCGAATCAGACAAAGCATCCTGCACAGTCTTAGGAACAAATGTAATAGACAATTGAGAGGAAAAACATGAGAAAGATGGCGATAAGGAATTATAAGAGACATACTGAGCAATGGGATGTTTAGTAACACAGGAGCGAGGAGCTTTACGTAGTGCAATAGGCAAGGATTCAGACACAGTGGAAGGTGTTGGATCCAAAGACTCTGAAGAAGACGGAGGAGGCACGACAGCAGATGGCTTTGGTCTTCGAGTGTACACCTGTAACGGGGCAGGCAAAGGAGATCTAGGTTGAAGAGAAAGTGAGGGAAGTGGAACCGCAGGAAGAAGCGACTCAGAAGTAATATCAAGAATTGAATCACTATCTGAAAAATATGGGACGGACTCACAAAAGGTCACATCCACGCTAATAAAGTACCGTTGAGAAACAGGACTATAACAACGATAACCTTTATGAGAACGAGAGTATCCAAGAAATACACACTTTGTGGCACGTGGGTCAAGTTTATCAAAACCAGGACCAAGATTGTGGACATAACAGACACAGCCAAAAACTCGAGGAGTAAGAGAAAACAAAGGAGAATCAGGAAATAAAATAGAATGTGGAGATTTGCCATCTAATACAGATGACGGCATACGGTTAATAAGATGACAGGCAGTAAGAACAGCATCACCCCAAAACCGTTTAGGCATGCGCATATGAAACAAAAGAGCACGGGTTACTTCTAAGAGGTGTCGATTCTTACGTTCTGCAACTCCATTTTGTTGAGGAGTATAAACACATGAATTTTGATGAATAATTCATTTATCACTAAGATAGGTATCAAAAGGGGTTGCTGTATATTCCTTAGCATTATCAGAACGTAAAATACGAATGGGACAGCCAAACTGAGTTTTGATTTCTTTTCGAAATTTTTGAAAAATTAAAAATAACTCAGAACGATCTTTCATTAAAAACAACCAAGTCAGGCGAGAATAATCATCCACAAATGTCACAAAATAATGAAATTTATTGATTGAAGAATGCTTTATTGGACTCCATACATCTGAATGAACCAAATGAAAACGACTAGAGACACGATTATTAACCCTAAACTTGAAAGACACACGATGGTGCTTACTAAGTTGACAAACCTCACATGACAAGAATTTCAAATTACTAAGACTAGGAACTTGACACTGCAAAACTTGAAGTGGCGGGTGTCCAAGACGACAGTGCCACTGGAATGGAGACAGAGAAGACTGAAGAGCCACAGGATAAGGTGCCACATCAAAGTAATATAAGCCACCAGCTTCATTCCCCGTACCAACCGTCCTCTTTGTCTTGAGATCCTGAAACACACAAAAAGTAGGATAAAATGTAACAGAGCACTGAAGAGATTTAGTAAGCTTACCGACAGACATTAAATTAAAGGGAAACTGAGGAACATATAAAACAGATGAAAGGGACAAGGAATCACTAAGTTGAGTTGTCCCCAAACCTGAAACCTTAGCGGAGGAACCGTTAGCAAGGGTAACTCTTTGAGAAGGAGGTACAGAATTAAAATTAGATAGAAGAGAAGAACATCCAGTCATATGATCGGATGCTCCAGTGTCTATGATCCAAGGACTGCGAGTGGAAGACAATAGACATGTGGGTGCAGTACCTGACTGGGCAAAGGTAGCCATGGAAGATGAATTAGATGCTTGCTTATAAGACAAAAACTGAGTATACTCATCACGTGAGACAGGGACCGTATCTGATTCAGCTACATTATGAGATCCAGAAGCAACATCATTCGGAGAGGAGGAAACTTGATTTGCATAACTAGATGGTTTGCCATGAAGGTCCCAACAAAAATTCACAGTATGATTAGAAAGACCACAATGAGTACATTTTCGTGATTCCCTGCCACGGCCACGTCCTCCCCGTGAATCACGACCGTCACGTGTGGAGCGTCCCCCACGACCTCCACGGAAAACAGTATTTTCACCCTTTGAAACAATCAATGCTGAACGCTCACCACTCTGCCCAGTATTCAAAGTGGAGGTATCACTGACAAGTGTAGCGCGCTGAAGTCTAGAAAACACATCAGCAAGAGATGGAAGTGTGGGACTGCCCATAATCTGTGAACGAAAAGACTCATAAACTGAGGACAAACCAGTAAGAAAACGAACAACATTAAAGTCCTCACGTTGTTGTTGCATACTGCGAACATCAGCAGTAATGGGCTGATACATATTCAGCTCCTCACAAATGCCCATAACTTTGGAATAATACTCTTCTATACTGTGACTACCTTGTTCAAGATGAAATTACTGCTTACAAAGCTCATAAACACGAGTGATATTACCTGTCCCAGAATACAGTTGCTGCAATCTGTCCCATATCTCCTTTGCAGTATCCAAATAAAGTAAAGTTGTACTAATTTGGGGTTCAATACTGTTTATCATCACAGAAATGATCTGAGCATCTTCCCTTTCCCATGCATCAAAAGAAGCATCAGTTTCCTTGAGTTTCTCTTTAGTCAGATGATTACCAAAGCCTCTACCTTTGAGAAAAATTTTAATTGATTTAACCCACAGTATATAGTTCTTCCCATTGAGTTTAACAGAAGTCATGGAAGAATGAAGACCAGAAGTGGGAGAAAACAAATCTGAAGTGGAGGCCATGTCTTACCCAGCAAAACAGAGAAGAAAATATGAAGCATAATTGGTATTCAGGCCAAACCTGGGCAAACGGGTCGGATCCGAGAACAAGTCGGATCTTGGCAAACGGGTCGGATCTGGACGAACGGGTCGGATCTGGACAAACGGATTGGACCTCGGATCGGATCTGGTCAAACGGGCCGAATCTGGGCTATCCCGGGGTTACGAAACCAGGGTTGGAATAACTATCCCAGGTTTAGTAAACCAGGGTTGGAATAGCCTCACTCCTGCAGCCAAACACCACCCTTCTCCTTCACAATCAGCGCCGGCGAGAACCAGAACTCTGTCACCGACAAGAAATTCCAGCACCCCAGATTCGCAATGGAAAAACAAGGCTAGTACACACCCTAGCCCTTGCAGCGGTGACGACAACCCAACAACAACAAAAAAAACAGCGATCTAACAACGGAGCGGAGAGGGATCGCGATGATGGAGCTTCTGCAACTTGCGACAGCCAAGGAAGCCTCGACCAGCAAAACGAAAGGCGTCAAATTTGAGAACGACGAACAAATCTTCAGCGAGTCAGATCTGAGAACGACGAACAAATCTTCAGCGAAGAACAAAGTTGGCTTCGATCTTGATTTTGATTTGTAGAAGAACAACCCAACCCAGATGCAATCACAACTACAACCCGCTCTAATACCATGTTGTTTATCATGAGAGATAGAGAGAACAGAGAGAACAAATGTATATATATTTCACCGACACACACCAAATAAGCCTATATAGGCTTATATAGGGGATACAAGCCTCCTTAATAACACAAGGGCCTACTAATATAATGTAATTACATAATGGCCCAACATATATATATATATATATATAACATTCTAACAAAAATCTTATTCCACTTGAGACTTATAACCTTCAAAAGAGCACTTAAAGCATATAAATCAAGTTAAATTTTGAACCACAACGAACGAAAAGGAATGACAGTCTGACCTGAGGATGGCTCAGAATCCGTTTTAACTGCTCAGCTTGGACACCTGGTAGTGCTAGGAGGCAGAGGTTAACAGTCAATTGAACCTCACCCACGATATGGAGCCGATGACGAAGGAGTAAATCATAGTTACGATGGATGCTGCCCCCTAAAGAATTCTCAATCGGTAGAACTGCTTTATCAGCCAGCCAAAGTTCAACAGCCTGCAAAATATATTCAAGAATGAGCAAACACAAATGAGTAAATTGATTAAAAGTAAGAGGCACTTGGGTACACTTGAGAACCAAATTGTTGCATTTTGTCTCCCCAACATTTGAATTGACAAATCTATCTTTTGAATTGACTTGTCACTGAATATATTAATAAAAAATATGGCGTCCTTACACAACAAAATTAGTAAATAAAGTGACATAATGGGACACAAAACAGACTCTCTTCAATGTTTTTTAAAATGAATTTAATAATAGCAATTTGGTGTGGTTGCGAAATTGTGCTTATAGGCTGTCAGAATATCATCATATCAAACCTTGAATGCATCTTCAAACTCATCACACGGAACAGTTTCACATTGAGGAAAGGCTTTAAGGGCAGCATCCTCACTGTATGCACCTGGTACCCCCTGCATCATTTAATGACCAAATGAATGACAGGCAAAAAAATTTCATCAACCAACAACTCTTTAATTTTTCTTTTCCATTTTTGTCGAGGGAGTAGCATCTAGCAACTTATATAAACAGAATACCTTATATGATATCCGCACATTTGTACCATCATTTGGAGAAGTAGAAAAATCTGTTACAGATAATGGTCCTGCAATTGGTGAAGATTTGAGAAAATTAAATTGTAAAGAGTTTTTTTTTTCCTTATTTATGTATTTACTTGTTAAAGAAAACCTATTGAGCATGAGACAACATGGAGTATTGACCTTAATATCTATATATAACCATTTACAATTGTGACTCAAAGTAGATAATTTTTATAAAACTAATCACCATCGTCAATCCTCTTACAACATAAAAGACTCACCTGCAAAGTGTATTTAAACAAAAGAACAATAAAAAGGACACACCACTGATAGTGTTATCTCAAAAAGTGAAAAGTCATTAGCTAGAACCAAGAAAATATAGGTTGATTTAATGCATTCTACATCCATCTCCAACTAAAACCATATCCTTGTAAGAATTTGAAGGTCAGGAACTCCTACATTTTGTGCTCATATACTCATAAGTACCTCAAAACTCAAAACTTCCAATTTGCAAACCCTATTACATTATATCCATTTTTAAAAAATCATTGAAATGTGCATATGCTTCATGTATTTTTGTAAAGTAGCCATCTTGAATTCTGTATGATGGTAAAGTAAAACCTATCATCCTATGGTTTGCAGAAAGTAGACATCATCAAGTTAAATTCCTTATTTACTCATAGGCAATCCGATGTTCTGGTGCAAAAGTCAAAGACTAGCCTCCCAACTTGCTATTTATAATCCCTCATAGCAAAACCACAAAACTTCAGCTCAAGAATAATCAATCATCAATATCATAATATGCCAATATAGAGAAGCCTATTTCTTTCTAGACAAAAGTATCAAATTGCAAATTCTTCACCATCCACTAACCAATTTGCAAACAAAGAACTGGGGAATCAAATTCAACATCTTTCATTCAAAATTGCATAACTTCACTGATCATTTCTTTTATTTGTTTTATTTTTATGGGAATAACTTTACCAATCAGCATCTGACTAGATATAAATTTACTCAACATATTTCAACTATGAAATTGCAGGGCTATATCTTCTGACAACAACAGTAAAAATCTATTAATTCAGGGAAGACAAAAAAAAAAAAAAAACCCACTTGGAAGATAGCTCAAATCCTTCTGCAATCTGGTGGACTGATCAGTGACCTGCTGCAATTCAGCGCCTAGAATTAGTGGATTCTTATCTGCAAAAGAGCTTATTGGGGTGTGGGCTGATGAACTCAAAAAAACACCACAAGGCTCCCATTTGCGTACTCCCTCGAAGTCTCTCACTCGACACCACACAAGCCCAGAAGACTTGATACCCAAATCTCCACAACCCAGTTGAGGAACTACACTCGCCAAGCATATAACACCATTCAAAGCCATCACAACATCGAGTTCAACACTTCCTGTGCCAGTGAGTTCCCAAAACAAGTTTCATGGAGGAAGATGTTCCTTCAAAGCATATCATAATAATACGATAAGACATGTGATCAAACCAAAGGAACTATTGAGTTATGATAGGAGTGAAAGATTTGGTTGAGGACTTTCATCAAACAAGTGAGTTACTCGCGAGAACTGTGCTTTCTTTAGTGCCATTCATTAAATTGTTTGACATTTAAGATAATGTGAAAGTCAATAACAATGGCACACGTGGTGAGACCCACCAGACACTGCAAAATTAGTGAAACTTAGATTGGGTTAATGACAAAAATATCAGTAATGCCGGTACAAGAACGCTATGATTGAAAGGACTTTTTTTTTTTTCTTTTTTTGGGGGGGGGGGGGAGGAGAGGTCCAGATCAGACAAAAATATTAGTAATGCCGGTACAAGAACGCTATGATTGAACGGGCAATTTTTTTTTTTTTTTTTTTTTTTTTTTTTTGGGATGGGGGTGGAAGGGTACCAAAAACTTATTTACGAAGTTTCCACAAAATTTTTAACATCACATTCAAATTAGACGTGTCATAAATCAAAAACCCGAGCATACATAACAGCAAGTATAAAAGTGAATGTCCAGAAGCTTTGGACTGTCTTAGAGGCCACAAATAAAGGATTCCAAAGAACACTTTCAAAAATCAGCTTGTTGCGAACTTTCCATAAAAACCAACAGTAAAAGGAAACCAAGCTCACCAAAGAAGTGCGCGCCATACACCCAGAAGCAAGAGAAGGAAGACTCAACCACCACTCTGAAAAAGAATTCACGATTGCTGTGTTTATAATCCCATTTACGTACTCCCTTGACCTTTCTTACTGGACACCACATAAGTCTGGGAAAACTACCCAAGTTCTTTTATTTTGTTACTCCGAAAATAGTTATGGAGAATTCAAAAAAAAAAAATTTGTTATTTCGAAAACATTGTTTTCAACTTAGTTTTTAAAAATGATTCTTAAAATAAATGTTCATTTTTCAAAATAAATAAATAAAAAATAAACTACTCAATGATGCAAACCTCTCATGTGAGAAGGCTGGATTATGTCCACTGTTGGTGTTTGTCCGTTTTTTTGCATGGCCTAGCTTCAACCATGTCAGCGCCCCACTTAACCCTGGTTTAGGAGTAGAAAGGCGGCAATTAAGGAACAGATGAGGAAGGAAGGCGGCAATTAAGGAACAGTGGGTAGAAGTAAGGCGGCAAATATTGGAACAGTGGGCGGAAGGAAGACGGCAAATTAAGTAACAGTGAACAACAGTGGGTGCCAATCTCGCGGGAGGAAATCCCGCCAAAATCTACAGTACTATTTCCCAAATCCTACCATTCTGAAACCAAATTCCGCCATAAATAATTTGTTAATCGATTTGTATTTCCATAAAGTGTTTAGGGCTTTGACTGAATGGATATCACGGACAACACCAACAGTTGACAACATTGAATCCAGCTCCGAGCTACTGTGTCATCCCAAAACTGAAACAGATGGTATTATCAGTGTAGTTTGGGTTTGGGTTGCAAGCTTGTTCAGACTGTAAGATATTTTTTTATATTTGTGGCTTACATGATTTTGACACGTGATTTACTTCTGTTATTTGGTGGTTAAATAAAATAGATATCAGATTAATATTATATTATTTGGTTAACTTATAAATTACTTTTTTGGTAATTAATTATTGGAGAAGTGTTTTCCTATTTATTTCTTATTTTGATGGAAAGTGGAATTAAAGTTATTAAAAGGAAAACTGGTCCTCTCTCTTCATTTATAAAAGTGCATATTCCCATCAGTTATGTACACTAATGAAAACAACACGTATAATATTTATGTGTGCAAAAGACCAATAGAGAGAAATTGATTTCCACGCTTTGACTATTACAGTTTAGCATGTTGTTCGTTCCGCATAAATGATCTCGATGTTTGCCTTGATCTTTTCGAGTTTTACAATTATAGATCGAGGTATTTATATCTAACTATTTATTTATACATTATAGATATGTGAAAATTATGAAGTTCTAAGATATGGGATTCATATAAATTTGTGATTAATGCTTGACATGAATAATTATAGTTTATATCTGGTATCAAAGCTTATGATTTAGGAACTCATAATTTTCCACTCACGTTGCCTAAATAATATGTATAAATATAAAGTAAAATTAAATAATTGTGAAATTTAATTTTCTTTTAAAATCGACATATATACGAACAAATGCAGGGTTTATGTCTAATGGAATTGTTTGTCAATTTGGGTATAGTATTGCAATTGGTTTCATAGTTGGTTAATTGTGTTTATGAGCAGATATAAACAAACATGTGTTTATTTCTAGATTTATGTGCCTATTTTGAAAAGTTTGGTTTGGTATTGTTTTTGTCCAATGATTACAACATTCTATTTAGTGTAATACATTTATAGAATTGCAATTAGATAGATCATACGTAATATCGGACAATTGAAAAGTAAAATTATTTATATTTATTTGATTGAATGATTCAAAGAATTATGTCTTGAATAATATTTTAATTCAATCAGATTGCATATATTGTTTTTCAGGCCTGAATTGACTACCTTATTAAGTGATTATTTTAAACATGGCTAATTATGTATAATTATTATTTATGGCTATTTTTTTGTTTCACCTGTTTCTTTTTTTGGTGCTTGAATTGTATATGCTTGTGTATGTATAAATTATTGTTTTGTACCCATGCATACATACATAATGGAGAATCAATTTTTAGATTGATTCAATTATAGTTTCTTGAGTCCGAAAATAAAATACCATGTTTTATTATATATATAAAATAAAATGATATTTTTATTGAATTTTCGGACTATTAAATTTCTGGGATCGAACCTACTTAAACTTAGATCGATCAGTATGAGTATATGTGTATAATATTAAATGAGTAACTTAATGATGAATTAATCATTATCTAATTTAATATTCATATTATGTAAAGATTGTAAGTTACCAAAGTGGCCCAATCATAATGATTGATGAATATTAATTTTTGTAGTAAACATAATTAATCATAAATTTGTTACTAGCTAATTTAATATTTAAATTATGTAAAGGTTGGTAGCTACTAAAGTGGTCCAAACATAATGGTTGATGGATATTAATTTTAGTAGTAGACATAATTACAATATTTCATGAATTATGATACTTATGATTTCTTGTGATATTCATGAATGTTGAGTTCATTTAATTATGAGAAATAATTCCTCAAAAGGAATTGATTTTCAAGTGATTAAATGAACATTAAGGGATTGTATGTATTTTTTAATTGGTTAGATATAGAATATCCAAAGGTAACTTATCTGTTTAATTAAATAATGTATCACCAATGAAGGTATACATATAAATACATGTAAGCATCATTATTAGTATTTTATAAATGCCACCCAAAGGGGTACTATAATTATACATTATATTTATATTTTAAGTTATTTATATATACGTGTTATTAACTCAAAGCATTATTGTTGTAAGCATTTTATCTTATTATGCTTGTTTTATTACATCCCTTAATTCACATGCTACATCTGTGCTGATTCTCAATAGGACTAACTTCTCATGATGGAATAAGTAAGTTAAGTTCAAAATTTAGATGTGTTAAATCTTGATTTAGTATTTTAAATCGAGAAACCTACTGTTATTACGATTAAAGACAGTAAAGATAAAAAGATTATCCATAAAACTTGGGAGAGATCGAACAGATTAAGCATTATGGTTATGTGAATAATTGTTTCTCATAGTGATAGTGCTAAGGAATACTTGACTATAAGAATGTTTTCGTATTGTAGATAAAAATCTAAAACGAAAATTATTAATTGATATCACTACTATGCATTTTTGTTGGTACTCGTACCATGTATGAACATAATTTTGAAATAACTAATGATATTACAAAATTAAGAACCTTATGGATGATTGTGGATAAGAATTTTCTCATTCAATTTATTCTTAATTTTTTGTCCACTCAGTATGGGTCATTTCGAATTAATACTATTAAGACAAGTGAAAAGTGAAAGAATTGACCATTATGTTAATTTAGGAGGAGACAAGGCTTAAGCAACAAGATAATCATTATGTTCATCTCATAACTTAAGAAGTTATAAAGAAATTTAGGAAGAAGTTTGAAATGGCTTAAGTGAGCAACACCCAAAAATAAAAGATTTTGATTAATCTATTAAAAGAAAGGAATGTAATAATGCAAAAGTGTTATTTATGTATTGAACATTTTTAGAAATATTACATGAAACATAAAGAATGATTCAAAAAAGAAAGGAAAGCTTTTGGCTTTTGGATATTTTGAATCACTTATTGATATTACTTCTAATAGATAATAGGCTGATTTAAGTATTAATGTTTATATTTTTAATAGATGCAAGGATTTCTTATAGTCTAAACCACAAATTCAAACGAGAATTTCTTATTTATGATAATTGGGAAAAAGTTTTGTTGAAAACATTGAAACATTTTGTTTAGTCTTAGACAATGAATATTATTTAAATTGTTTTAAATTTTTTATATTTATTCAATTTCCCATAATTTGATTTTATTTCAAAAACTTTATGTTAATGGTTTTTACTTTAAATTTGATAATGATATTTATTTAAGAAATTCTAATTTGTGAGTTATGGTATTCTTTTGATGATTTATTTAAATTCAACCTTGATAGTTTATTTATTAAAACCTTTTTGACTTTGCATCATAATGTTATAATTAAGCGTACTTCAATTAATGAAAATTCATTTATCTTGTGGCATAAATGTGATACCCCCAGATTTTCGGATGCGAGTTGGCCAGGCCCACGCCCGATTATCCAAAGATATCAAACCAATTAGTAATAAACGAATACAGAATACAATTAAGAAAACAGGAATAAATAAAACTGCTGAAATGAAACTAGAATAATAATCCAAAGCTGAAAACCTCAGAATAAAATTTTATAAACAAAGAATTAATCTGATACATCCAATTTCTCCAATTCTAATACAACTCGGGAATCCATCTCTAATGGACCCTTAATAATCCAAACTGAAATGAAAGTTACTTAAAGAACATCCAGAGTAAACCATGGAGAAAAGTCCTACGTCATCGGAAGAGTGAGTAATAGTCTCTGCTTAGCACGATCAAGTCTAAGTCTGGAACTGACGAGTACCTGAAAAATAGAGGTGGGTCAGGCC